TTCTTCTCCACCCTGGGCTAGTGCCAGTCCTCAATGGCATTGAACTATTTTGCGGCTTCTGATGTGCCCAATAGATCCTGAGCTGTAATTCAGTTGGCTGGAGACATTGATTCAATACTTGACCAGTTTAGCAGAAGTGACTTGCACTTTACCTGTATGTGAGTAAAGTGCCAAATGTGGAACTTGCAGTTGCTTTGGCCTTCAGCACACAGTTGTTATAAAAGATCCTAGCTAGTAGTAGCCTCCTTCCTATTCAAAACCAATGAATTGGGGGGGAGGGGGTGTGGGGTGTGTGTGGCTACAGCACAAGTCAATCCTGGCTTCTGTTCCCTGTTTTACACTGGCTGACTGGACCACACTGATGTAACTACCTTGTTTCCTTCAGTATAACATACCTGTAACTGACTTCTGCTATGGATAGCACAGGCTTGAGACTATAACATAAATTCATAATGTCAGTGCAGTTTGTATGGTGTTTTAACCTGGCTTTTTTTCCCTTTGCCTAGACTATTGCATACAGCATTCTATGGGACCTGAAGTTCTTGATGAGGTATGCCTGCTTCTTAAGAGTTTATCAGAACAGAACTAAAACTGTCCTCTGTCACTGACAGGAAATGATCTCTGTACATAGTGTTTATTAGAAATACACCACTAGAAGTATTTGCATATTGTGCATTTACATTAAACAAGAAATGTCAGCATTTAAAAAATGAGTAGAGTCTGTGTTAAGCCATAGACCAGTATTATAGAAGGCAAAAGACTAATCCCAGCCCTCTAGGATCTAAGTGCTTCTGCTACTAACCTTCTTGCTGAGCGCTCACAAGCAACTGTCTAGACTGGGTCAGTGAGCTGCTGTTATTTCCTAAATGGCTAAAATAGCAACTGTGCTTAAGCATGACTGAAGCCATTTTCTGGTCTAGCTAAAACATACAGATACTAGAATGGTTTCTGGGGTTTTAAATCCCTAACACCTTCTTAGAGTACAAGACAGGGCTTTTAAACATGAGCTTTCTTGCCAATCCTGAGTAATGGCTGAATGTTGGCTTTTCACCCCTCTCCTTTGAGAAGGGGGGTAGGGGGCAGCACAAGAACTATACTCTGGGCTTACTACAACCCTGTAACCTGTGTAATTTTTAGCAGGACTGCTATTCTGTTTTCTCAAACCTGAGGTACAGAATAACTTCAATACAAGTAAAGTCATGCTGTGACAGATGCTAAGCAGCTGTGCCCGAGCTGAGGGTGCTGGACTTCCCTGGCAGGCTTTACAGTCTGCACAGGCCTGGGGAAATCCTTGAGCACAATACTGGTGTGTCAGCTGTGAAGCCTGATGCAGGCACACTGCATGGGAAAGAGTAGGTCACTCCTCCCCAGCATGCAGATTCTTACTGAGTTTAAATTGTCGGATAAAACTTTAAATCACTAGAGTAGTGCAAATTATAAACTGCCTTTGGGTTTGTTTTTTTTTTTTTCCCCCCTGTCTTCCTGTAGGAACTTGGCCCTTGGGGGAGGTTTGCTGCTGCTTTTGGCCGAGTCGCGCTCAGAGGGGAAGAGCATGTTTGCTGGTGTCCCCACCATGCGGGAAAGCTCCCCAAAGCAGTACATGCAGCTGGGGGGCCGTGTGCTGCTGGTCCTCATGTTCATGACACTGCTACATTTTGATATGAACTTCTTTTCTGTAAGTATCCGAGTATAAAAGTATGAGTTAAGGAACTAGAATACAGTACCAGCTCCCTGATCAGCTGCAGCACCTGCTCAGTGCTTATCATTTAAGTCTATTTTTTAGTAGAATTAATATGTAGAGAAAATTACTAGATCCTCTGTGCCACGACAACCTGTTCTGTTGAACTTGTCCATGCTCTGTTCTGATTCTTGTCTGTTTAAGAGCCATGTGTAAGCTTGTGGGTTTTTTTTATTTGCAGATTCTGCAGAACATTGTGGGCACAGCCCTGATTATCTTGGTGGCAATTGGCTTCAAGACTAAGCTGGCTGCCTTGACTCTAGTCATCTGGCTGTTTGGCATCAATATCTACTTCAATGCCTTCTGGACCGTCCCAGCCTACAAGCCCATGCATGACTTCCTCAAATACGATTTCTTCCAGACCATGTCTGTCATTGGAGGCCTCCTCCTTGTGGTTGCACTGGGTCCTGGTGGAGTCTCCATGGATGAGAAGAAAAAAGAGTGGTAACAGGAATAGCAACACTTCTTGGGACATAACATATTAAGTCAAGAACTGATTCTTTATGGATTCAACAAAAACTGCCAGCATTTTACACGTACATGCCCCCTTCCTATTAAAGGCACAGATATTCTGAATTTGATTTACAGTGGCACCAGTAATGTAATAGAAAAAATCCTATTTCTTCAAGAAAAGTTGCCTAGGCTTATTCTAACTTTCTAGATTTGGAACTAACCCAAGGAACCTGCATTTTGCTGATGCTTCAGTGAGTTGCAGTAGAACAGTAGTTTGCTGTCTTTAATGTCAGCAGTGTTTTGAAATTTGAAGTACTGTGAGCAGATACAGCTGTATCATTGTGTACTGTTGGGTTCTAGCTATAACTAAAAAAGTGGCTCCCATGTCTCACCCTCATTAAAACTGTCTTGTGCACGAGGAGTTCCCTTGCTGATCATAGCATTTCTTATCAACGTGGAAAGCAGCATCAAGAAAAAACAGTTATTCTGCTGCTTAGAGGCCTGTAATTCCATTTTGTTTAACAGGGGAAGCATTTCCTACCCCCAAATGGAAGGTAAAAAAAACGCTGAAAGTAGTTGTACCCCTCTAGGTAAGAAAAGGGAGGGGGTCTTCTAACATGTCCCAGTTCCCCTCTCAAGAGGAACAAGGGATAATCCTTTATTGCTAATCAGGAGTCCTGTTTTGCTAATCACATTTCAAGGAGCGGAGGGGGTGATACTCCTGAAGAGACAGAATGTCAGATTCTGTGAAAATTATGTGCCAAAAGAACTGTATTCAGCATTCTTTCCCCAGAGTTTCCTCCTGAATTCCCAAGAAGGGAGCCAAGTTGTGCTGCAGGTTCCATAACAGAAGCTCCTTTCTGCTATTAACCAGCTTCCATCCACGTATGCCCCAAATTCCTATCTGAATTGTAGGTTATTGGTAAAAGTGTCTTAAAAACTGCAGAACTCCCGCTTTTCCCTGCAGTCGGTACGGGTGAGAGGGGAGCAGTCAATCTTCTCATCTGTAGGGTTGCTTCTCTGATTCGTTTCTGTCGGTCCCGACTGCGCCAGTACCTGTGACAGCAAGGGGCCGGTTGAGGCCAGCCCTTTCTCTGCCCCATGGTAGTTCATCCCAGGCTGTGCAGGGAGGACACCCATCAACTCTGTGCTGCCAGAGCCCCAGTTCTCGGCTCTGAATCCAACGGTTATAGCTGAAGAATGCAAATTCAAACCCATGCAGGGAATAAGCAGCTGGGGATGTAACTTGTGTGTTCAGAGGGAGGAACTCCTCAGTATAAGGGGGGGAAAGACCCTATTTCCACCTTTCAGTGCCACAATCACTGTGCCATGAACATGCTTAGTGCTGCTCAGAGGAGGCATTTTGTCCTCTGCCAGTCAGCTAGGTAAGCTTGTTTCACTAGATCATGAAAGAGTTCTAGAAAGCATGAGCCCTCCCAACTTGCTAATACTACATGAATACCTTGCACTGTTGTCTCCCTTGAGAAAGCTGCTCAACTGTTTGTTCAAGGAGTAATTCAGCTGAATGTCTCCAGCAGGAGCTATTTACCAGGGTCTGCTGGTAAGGACACTAACCTGGACAGTTCAGCTTAATGGTTGCTTTTTAGGAGAGAAAACTAGTCTGAAAGAACTGATGCCAAATAGAAGAGCACTGATGAATGTTAAACCAATGATTTCATCATCTTGAAGGGAAAATGGCCAGTGTAATAGCAAGATGTGCTGCTGCTGAAGGAAAGGAATCAGTTGGGGGGTAGGTTGGAGGGAAAGCCAGCAGTTACAGTTGGGTCATATAGAAAGCTTGCTTTTTAAAAGGTTTTGCAAGAGGATTTTTTTACCTCAAGTGTTCGCTGTGCCCATCTCTTCATAGCAAAACTAATCTGTCCAGTTACGGATAAGCAGCACAGGTACTTTTTGCTCAGTTTCACTGCAGGTCTTGTAATGGTTTTAGACTACATCAAGGCAGCCAATCTCAGATACTTTAACTGCTGGTGGTGTTCATAGTATTTATAAATGGAATGACAGAAACTACTCCTGTAAGTAGCCCTTAAGTTGGCTTTCTCAACTTGTGTCCTAAGGAGCTGGATGACAACCTGGTCTGAAATGCTGACTGACCAGTTTCCTCTGTGAAAATCGAGTCCCTTTTCCAGCAAAAGACCCCAGAAAAGGAACTGATATTGTCCCTTGCAGCAGAAATGTTTTGGTACTAAAGGGGCATGGTCAGGAGGAGGGCATTAAAGGTATTTCCAGGCAGCACAATATGCAGACTTACTGTGAGTCCTGATGCAGAAGGTTCTGGTTTCCTACCTATGCTGCTGTGTTTGTGCATCTCCCAAAAATCCCATGACCTCTCCCCATGGCTGAGAAGCTCTCACAAGCAGGGTATCAGCTGTCAATTGGCTCTGCAAAGTGTTCTGGAATTCATTCTGAATATATTTTTGCTTTCTATGTGGAAAAAGAAGTATAAATTCTCATTTTTATGCTGTATTTTGTACCTTAGTTGTGTTTGAAAATGTTTTGATTTTTGGAAACAATCAAAATAAAACAATGGCATCTTTGTATCCACCTGGCGTGTGTGAGTGGTGACACTCCCCAAGCAGGTTGCTGGTTACTGCTCCTGTGCCACCTATTGACAATCCTCTTCATGAGGAAGAGTCCCCAGCTCTGGGCTGCCTGCATGTGGCAGTGCTTCTCCCTGGGGGGGCAGCTTGAGGCTTTTGAATACCACTTGATTCTACCCCACTGCTCCCCTCCTCAGCTCTAACAGGTAACAGCACCCACTAGAATTGTTACACAACAGGCTTCAGACCACTGTAGTTATCACAAAGTTTATTTGCCATTGGCTGCTTTCTTCAAGTTCCTGGGTTTTCGATGATGACTCTTGAATTTCTTCTTTAAAGGGCCTGACTGTTTCTGTAGAGAAAAATAAGTTAATCAGCTGATTTCCAAACCCCCAAGACAGCTTAGAGAAACTGAGTGTGCTTTCCTTCACCAAGTGACAGAGCAGAGGTCTTTCCCTGCCCCTACCCTGCAAGTTTGCATCCCTTTCTCTGACAGGCCTCTGGTTTCATCAGATACTCTGTGTAGCGATGAACCCAAATTTCACCCAGCCTCAACTCTCCGGTTTGATATAGTTACAAAGGATCTAGCCCCTTCCTCAGGGAGTTAAAGGTTTGTCCACCTTTTAGGGAACATCTGTCTCCTTCCCAATCTGAGAAAGTATATTCTTGCAAGGCAAGACCTGGCCAGCTCTTCAAGAGGCAGAAAAAGGGCTTAGAAGGACCCTGTGCCTTCAAAGGGTTTAATTTGTGTTTGTGTGTGTAAGGGACACACTTCAGTCTCTCTCCTAGGCCAGTGTGCAGCAGGATCCTGTCAATGGCCTCTTTGTACGGGCAGGAACAATCCTAGTGACTGCAGACAGGGTGAATTGCTGGTGGCAGTTCACAGCTCGGGACACAGCCAGGGGGTGGCACATGGGGAAAAGTCATTCTGAGTAACTCTGCACCTTCTGCTGGTTCTCAGACAGGAACAGATCAAACATGTACAGGATGGGATCCCAGCTCAAGGCTCCCCTACTGCTGCATGCGGCGCAACTCCCACCTTTCCCCGTTTGTTGCCACTGGCTCTGCTGACACCTGCTCTTCCACCATCCTCTCTGTTCGTGTCACCATTCTGCTTGATCCCATCATCCTCGCTGTCTGTTGCAAAGTCATCACTGCCCGTTGTGGTTTGTGGAGCCGCTGAGCTTTTTCTTGGAAAGAGTGCAGCTAAAATACAAATACTTAGCTCAGCATTGGCCCCCTGTGGCACAGGCTTCCCCCCGACTTTACGCTGAGGACATCTTAAAAGCAATTTCCAAAGATGCTTCCAGTCGCTGAGCTCGTATGTGTCACTACTGGAATACTTGGGAAATAAACATGCTGGTTTATGAGGAGTGTGCTGGTGCTCTCACTCATCCCACTTCGGGGACTGCTCAGCACAGGCTGTTCTGGGGTGTCATCCCTGTCCCTCCCACAGCCAGGCAATACCCACAGGTGTAAGCAGCACAGCCTGACCAGCTTCTCTGAGACTCAAGGATTTGCTAGGAAATGAGGAAAGCAGAGATACCTAAAGCAGTAAATCGCAGCGGATCCTGGATCCCTCCCCTAGCACCTTATGTGATCCAGCTCTGGTTATTACTTAGTGGTAACTGCAATTTCTTCTCTGGTGGTAGTAAGCTTTACTGAAACCCAAGAACTCCATGCCTCTGGCATGTAAGCAACAACACTATAAAGAAGCTGGGAGAAAATCCCTTCAAAAAGCTCCCTTCAGGACACAGATGATAGTGATGTTCTCACTCACATGGGTACAGGTCACTCATGCTATCGTCTGTCTCCTCTCCATCCTCATTGCTGGACTGTGGCTCCCAGAATTCCTCTTTTCTGTAAGGCTGCCTGCTCCTGTTCATTTGGTCATCAGAGTGCTGCGTCCACCGCTGCTTCTGTCGCAGACACGCCGGGATGTACTCCACTCCTTCCTTCTGGCACTCCTCATCTAAGAGAGCAGCTCTTAGGAAGGCCACCCTACCACCTCAGGCCTTTCCATTCCCAGCTCCTAGCTTGCGCTAAATGCAACTCAAAAGCAAGTCAACCTCCAACTCTAATATACATTCATGTAATCTACAGCAATGCTATGGACCATAATAGAGGGGAAAGACGTTTACACTGAGCCTGTGCTGGAGAAAACTGCCCTCTCCAGTAAGGATGTTCCAAGGTATTTGCTAGAGGCCAATTGCTCCCTGCATCTGGGATCTTCCTCTGTAGCTGAGGAGCACACACAGCAACAGCAGCACTCTACTGCCAATCTAAACAAAACTGACTCCCTTCACACAGATCTAGTGGAATCTCAAAAGTTCAGAGAAAAAAACTCCTCTGCTTGTATCTTCAGAAAAGCTACTTACATGTTTTGAGGGCCTTCTGATAGCGCCTCCCCTGGACATGAGACAGCACTTGCTCTGGGTACTTGTTGATGTGCCTGAGAGTCAGCTTGCAAAACAGCTGGTGCCTGACAAAGGCAGAAACAAAGAGCAAGCAACAGAGTTTAAGTTTGCTATTGCGCAGTAACTTCTCACTTACAAGGCCTGTGCTCAAAGTTAATAAATATTTTATAAAGACTTTTCCAGTCTCCGAAAACCCACAGACTCAAGAACCTTTGTAAAACTCCACCACTGTGTCTAAGATTGAACAAAGCATAAGCATGTCACACAGGGGGAAGAATACGTACAGGTTCTTTGTGCTGGGCACTATATGGGGCTCAAACACGCTGTAGTCAAACTCTCTGGCTGTCTTTATCAGCCGCTGATACTTCTTGCCATTAGTGTAAGCCTGCAAGTCCGACAGCCGACACAGCATCTCGTGTCCCGTCAGCCTGCACCGCACCTGAAGGAAACGTCTGGTCAAGGAAGCGCAGGGGTACCCAGAGCTGGGGCACACCCCGAGCCCCCACCAGCGCCCCTCTCCCGGCCCGCGCCCAACCTCCCCACTGAGACAAAGCCTCTGGGCCCGGAGCTCACTGGGTCGAGCCCATGCGCCGCGGTTCCCCCAGCTCGCTCAAGGGACGCGGCCCCGGCCCCGGCCTCCCCTTGCAAACCCCTCCGAGAGGCAGCCGCGGTCCCCCACAAGGCTCCAGCCCCACCCGGCCCGGCTGCACGAGGCTGAGCAGCGGATGCTGCAGCAGGAAGAGCCGCTCCGCCTCGGGCACCTCAGCCCCAGCGCCCGCAGGCCCCGCCGCGCGCTCCGCCATGCCGGACCAGCGCGCCCCACTTCCGGTGCCGGAACCATAGAGAGGAGCGGAGCCCGCCTGCGCCGGGACCTTCGCGACCGGAGGCTCGTGGGGAACGGTGGCGGTGTTGCCATGGCGACGGGGAGGCTGCTGCAGCGCGCGGGGCCGCGGGTGCTGCGGGAGCGCCGGGGGCGGGTGAGGGGAGCGGGGAGCGGGGAGCGGGGCCTGGGCCTGGGCCTGGGCCGAGGGCAGCGGGACCCGGGGGAGCGGGGCTGGGGAAGTGGGGAAGTGGGGCAGGGCCGGGGGGAGCGGGGCTGGGCCGGCCGAGGGCAGCGGGGCCGGGCTGAGCCGGATAAGGCCCCCATCTCGTCCGTGCCCCGTCCCCCGCCGTGCTCGGCGCTACAGAAGCGCGCGGCCGAGCTCGCCGTTTCCGTTGCCGGGGCCCGAGGCCTGCCTGCGGTGCGTTGGTGAGCCCCCGCGGAGGATGAGGGCCCCGGGTTCACCGCGTGGGACGCGGCGGTGCTGCAAGCGCGCGGGAGCGGCGGCAGAAAGGCTGTAAATGTGCCCCCGCGCCGCTGCAGCCGGGTCGGAGAGCAGGTGCCGCGAGGGCAGTGATTGCAAAACCGAGTTAGGCTGGTGCGGGTGTGCGCCCACGGCGTGGATGGGAAGGGAAAGCTCCTGTGCTGTGCTGTGGCCGGCTCCATCACTGCAATTTGATTTTGATAAATAAGCATATTTTATTATAACCTCACCAGTAGTGTTTCACAGGCAGGCAGTTGCTCAGATGAAACTTAAATCCACGGGTAAACAAAATTTCATGCCCCATTGAGCAAATAATATCATCTAGATACAAATTCTACAAAGCAGAGGCACAACAAAGGATCTTTCTTGTCTTTCATATTTCATATAGATATCACACTGCTCAATCAGAAGAACTTTTTTTGGATATCCCCTAACTAAAGCAGGTTCTGGTCTGGTCCAGCAGACTAAAGGTAAAGTGTGGGTTTCTGTTCTGTTTCAGCCTCACACCAAGAGGTGACATTTCTTGCAGGAATTTGGCATCTCTTCTCCTGTACAAATCCTGATCCTCATTCTGTTTTCCTCAGGTGTTTTTTTGAGGTTCTGCAGACCACAAAGTTCTACAACAGCTGCTGATGCACCTGGAGAAGATTCCTTACTTAAATGGGGTCTTCTCCTGGTCCCTCTGAGCACATTCTGTCTCGGCACATGGCAGGTACAAATAAATATTCATTTTTTTCTAGAGATAAGCACTTGAGGGCTGTCAGCTTGTTCCATCTCTGGCTGTTTAATCTAGTTCAAATCTCGTAGGGGAAAGATTCGCTGTTAATTTAAATTTCTGTTTTCCAAGTGTCCATTTGAAGGTCTTTAAAGGAGAGATTCTTATTTTTTACACTTTTATTTCAGTGTAAATATTTCCTCGAATTCAAGTCAGTAGCTTCTATTTTCATATCTCCGATTCCCCTGATCTAGGCAAGGTCTGACAAGAAACTTGTGGCAAAGGTTTTCAGGCTGACTGGGGTTACTGCATTGCTCTGCTCCACCCTGAGGAGTTACTTTTCTGTTTGTGTACTTTCAGGTTCAGCGACGAAAGTGGAAATTAGATTTGATTGCACAACTGGCATCAAGAATTACATCAGAGCCCATCCCTCTGACATTAGAGTATGGAAGCTGTCACTGTCTGCAGAGCACTGACAGTGTGCTGGGGATAGTAGAAGCGATCCCTGCACTAATGAGCTTATTCTAAATTAAACTGCATTAAAATGAAGGCATCCGACGGGAATCGGAATGTGCAAGCAAATTAGAAAGATATCCTGTTACTTATTTATAGTAAAAGAATAAGTGAATGCTTCCCTGTGGGATACTGCAAATGCAAGTAAAAAGCATGAATGTCTGTTCAGGAGAACGTGGTATGTATTTCGTACCGTATGTAGTCCTCCTGGAGAAGGAGGGCTTGGTAGCTGGTATCTGTGATGTCCCAAGGGAATTATTCCTGCCACAGGAAGTCTTGGATAGCTGGCCCTGCCCCAGGCATGGGGCAGTTGTGTCAGATATGAGAGAAATTTTTCAGGTCACGGGCATATGGCACAGCTGTGAAAGAGTTGAGTTGTTCTGTGTCATGGTCTCAGATAGGAGAGCAATGCTCCCTGTTGGCTGGATATATGTGTACTGTGTCCACCTGCTGATCAGCCGCATGTGGGTTTCAGGTACCATGGAAAAGGACTGCATTCTGCCTGCTCATGAGCATCTCAGTTTGATTCACTGTGACAGTAATAAATGTTAAGTCAGATGGTTATTCCATGAGGTGTTTATCTTTTGTTTCTGTTTGTCAGCTGTCTCTAGAGTGAACCATTTGGGAAAAGGAAAATCCCACAGGAAAATCTCCTACTTTGATTTACCTGTCGCAGCCATGATTTTATTTTCATCTTTTTCCATGCAGCCCCATGGAATTGAAGGAGTTGGAGTACAGACCCGTAAAGGTCCGGGGCCATTTTGACCACTCCAAGGAGCTCTATATTTTGCCACGGTCACTTGTGGAATCTGAGCGAGAAGCCAAAGCAGCCACACGGCTCATGTCCCACCCGGAGAATGGCGCAAATGTCATTACTCCTTTCTACTGCACAGACCTGGGGTAAGTTAGTGAAAGTCTTGGCTCATGTGAGCAACTAGCTTCTGTTGTGAAAAGCTGAATCGTAGTGGTTGGGTTTATAGAAATGGCTCCCTCTCCCTTAAAAGGCATCTCTCAGTCTCTTTGGTCACTGAGGCTTGATTTGAAATTGTATTTAAATTCCCCTATAATGTGCACTCAGATGACAAAAACGTGGCACTAAATGTATGGGTTCCTTCTTTCTTTCATACTTCGTTCTAGGCAGCAGCAGCAGGAATGAATTTCCTTCCACTCATGAGCTGTATTTCTTTATGTAATTCTAGGGTCACGATTTTAGTCAACCGAGGATTTGTGCCCAAAAAGAAATTGAAACCGGAGACCAGGCTGAAGGGACAGGTAAGAGGGACACAGGGACCAGGCCTGTTACTCTCTGCCCCCTGGTTACACAGAGGCACTACAGAAAAATCAAGAAAGGCAGCAGCCATGTTCAGCATCATTGGGGTTTACTTATGGTAGTCATTGTGCTTTTCAAAGAAGGCAGACCTCTTCTTCCCACCTTTGTGTTATGTAAATGTGTTTTACAAACGTTTTTACAAACAAAAGGAGCTTGATCTGCTTTGTTTCCCTGCTGTGTTACAGCAGTGCCTCACTGTAGGGCACAACTACTTTATAACCAGACCTCGCGAGTGCCGAATTGTTCTACCAGGACTTGGTATGCCAGAAAATGAAATAAATCTTGCAAGATTCCTTTTTTTTCCCCTCTGCATTCCACATTTCAGATTGAAGATGAAATTGATCTCACCGGGGTGGTGAGGTTATCAGAAACCCGAAAACCTTTTGTGCCTGAAAACAACATCGAGAAGAACCGCTGGCACTACCGGGACCTGCAGGCTATGGCAGAGGTGACAGGTGCTGAGCCCATCTTTCTCGACGCCGACTTCAGTAAGTCACAGAGAAACCCAACCACACATCCAGTTTCCATCGGTCTCACTCCCTTTCTGCTCAGTTATTTCCCCTGAGCACTGGGAAAGGCAGACTCGTAGGATGATTTAGGTTGGAAAAGACTTTTAAAATCAAGCCCAGCAAGGTACTGTATTTTTGTCTGTGTACTCTGCTAGGTCTGCTATTTTCAAGGTTATAGAGGCCTACAAGAAACTTGGAGACTTTTTACAAGGGCAGGTAGTGACAGAACAAGGGGAATGGCTTTAACCTGCCAGAGGGGAGATTGAGATGAGCTCTTAGGCAGAAGCTCTTCCCTGTGAGGGTCCTGAGGCGCTGGCACAGGGTGCCCAGAGCAGCTGTGGCTGCCCCATCCCTGGCAGTGTTCAAGGCCAGGTTGGAGAGAGCTTGGAGCAAGCTGCTCTAGTGAAACGTGTCCCTGCCCGTGGCAGGGGGTTGGAACTGTATGAGCTTTAAGGTCCTTTCCAACACAAACCATTCTACTATGCTGGACAGCCAGCGCTTGGAATGGCAACATGCTCAGCAGAGGTGCAGGTGGTGGTCAATGCCTTGAGCACAACCAGCCCCTTGCCACCTGCTGATTTGGGAATACCATAACCTGAGGAAGAGGAGCACTGTCTATGTAAATTAACGCCTTCACACCCCGCAGCAAGGACAGCTCTGCATGGTGCAGGTATAGGTTTAACTCCTATTGTACTTGCAGGAAGCACAGTTCCTGGAGGGCCCATTGGAGGCCAGACACGAGTGAGCCTGAGAAATGAGCACATGCAGTACATCATCACCTGGTAAGTTACCCAGGCAGCATGGGGCTGACCTTCCACAAGTTTCTTTTGCATGTAAAGCTCTGCCTGGCATTCTGGCTCCCGCATCAGTGCAACTGCATGAGCTCTTAAGCTGTAATAGTCTGAAGGTTTAACCCAAGTAACATCCTCAAGGTGATTTGAAGTAATTACGGGGTTTGCACTGCAGCAGACTTAGGAAGATCCAGCTCATCTGGAAAAGGTGTAAATGCAGTTTTCTTTCATAGGTATGGCTTATGTGCTGCAACTGCATTCCTGTGGTACAGAAAATTTGTACAGAAGATACCTCTATGAGGGGAAGAGCAAGTCTCTTCTGTACTGCAGTCAAGAGCAGACTTTTCTGGAAGATAGCAGTCCGATCAGTCCTGAGGAACTGCAGCACAGTTTTAGGGCAACATGTGCTGTAAAGGTGCACAGCTATCAAGCTGCAAATAAGACTTTAAGTAACAGATGCAGACTCTAAGCTCCTGCCAGCATTATATAGCTGCAGCTTGGAAACACTGAACTTGAAAGCATCAGTTGAGACTTCCAGGGAAGCTGGTTTACACATTAATCTTAAGGATACATGTTTCTTTTGTGGCTGGTGGTAAGCTACAGCATTTTAACTTCTCCATATCTGTACCTTCCAAAAGATGGAATGGTTTCTTCACAGTCAGGAGTGGTTCATAGCAGTTGCATCAGAATAAACAAAGACGGATTTCATGTGCTTGCGTTGTGACATCCATTGTGCAGCTTGCATCCAGTGACTGAAAGAACAGCTATTGCAGATGCTCAAGTCGAGGTGAGTCAGGCAGCCTGGGGCTTTGCAAAAGCATGCTGAGGGCTACTGAAAACAAGCAGCAGCTCCCACAGCTATAGCCTTGTAAAACAGGGCAGCCTCCCACAATACCAAGAGACCAAGTCATCAGGGAGGAAAGAGCACAGGGTGGTCTAAACTTCCCCCTGCTTTCAGCCTGCCTTCCCTGGCCATTCCTGCCCTGGCAGAGGCATGAGACACCTCCCCATATGAGGTGTCTATCTGGTTAGTATGCTAAAATGAAGTATCACCCTTTATCACCCATAATGTAACCCAGTTGTAAGTACTAATGGAGATGTCCTGGAGCAATTTTCAATTGAGACACACTTGCATATGCAAGCTGGGCTTAAAGCCAAAAGCAGCCCAGCACATTCAACTGTATGGTCACAGAGTACATGCAGCAAAGCTGCTGTAGATGAACTGTGTTAAAGAACATGAATCATTACAGAAGACTAGTAGTTAAGAGCAGTTGTTCCAAGTACCTGCTCCATACTGCTGTTTGTGTGGCCCTATTCAATCATTTGATGAAGGCAAACAGAGGTAAGGCAAAGCCACTGTGCTGTTACCCACTGCCTGAACACTGCCGTTAACAGAGACCACCAAAACTGAATCTGAGTTTTTATTCTTTTTATGTACAGAAAACATGTAGCCATCCAGTACATCTTTAACCCAGCTTAGTAGCCAGTTCTTTAGCCTTTGCTTTTTCAAGCTTAGCAATGCGAGCCACCGATTTTGGACCCAAGACATTACCACCCCAGTGACGCCGGATCTGCAAAGAAGCAAGAACAAGTTAGATACCCTATACCACCTCTTACTGCACCATTCAACCAACCTGCTCAATTCCACTCCTTTTTGCACAAATGGAAGAGCTCCCTCAACTAGGAAGTCTTACACATTTCAAGCAGTGAACTAAATTTCTGGGCAGCACAGAGATACTAGAGTTGAAAAGTCTTTCCCAAGAATGGTGCTGGATTCAGCCATCATGTAATTTCTGGACTCGGGATGGAGTCAAGCCCAGTGGAAGCTGCTGCCCTCACTACAATCCTAGCCCTGTGATAGCTCTGTTGGCTTCTAACTTGGTGACAGTATTCATGTTTACCTTGCTCTGAGGCAAAGAATCTGCACACATCATAAGTGAATCTTGGTACAACACACCAAACAGGCTTTCAGTTAATGTCACTATGTCTGGAATAATCTGCATTTCACTAGGAAGCTTTTGGGATGTTAACAGTGTAAGACAAAAGGGACGGCTAGCAGCACAGAGAATCTTACCTCATCATATCTGTCATTGTAATTAGTCTTGACAGCCTCCACCAGCTTTGCAAGGGCTCCCTTATCCTCCCTGTTGGTGACAATTTTAGTTCCTTTAGAGCCTCAATTTAACATTTTCCATAAATCATTTGCCTCAGCATTTAAAACTCATAGTAGCAATGTGGTTTTTCAGGTTAAGCGTCATCTGCAAAGGCTTAACCACTTCACCTAGCAATACTTCAGGAACCTGCACTGCTCAGGTTAAGGTTAGTAGTTTCATCTATGTATTTTCAGAGTAACCATTCATTTTGGTAAACCAAAATAATCTGTATTTTCAAGGTCCAGTAATGTTCTTCAGGCAACAGGACATATGTATTCGATGTTACAGAGGTAACAGTTTAGGTTTACTATTTTATACTAGACAGACACAGGTTTGATATCCACTTGCCCTACAGCCTGTGCCTACGGACAGTCTGCTTTCAACCACAGAGAATCACTTAAGATCACAGAACACTTACGGGTTAACTTGGGTGAAAGCAATAGAGGTACACGTTTTCCTGTGGACCAGTCGCCCCAGTCTGGCTTTGCCCTTGATGATGCAGTATGGCACTCCCATCTTGCGGCACAGGGCTGGCAAGAAGACCACCAGCTAAAAAGAAAAGGAGCATGCTGGAGAACGGAAGGAGAACATCTGTCTGTTCTTTGGATCAGCTTGGGCTGTGGCAATTGCTCAGGGTTAAAAAGCTCGTTTTGCTCTTCACTATTAATTCAGGTGAAGAAATTCACACATCACTGCAAGGGCCAAGCCTCATTGTAATATCAGGACAACTACAAACATGCATATGCATTCCAGTGCTGGTAAATATATTTTATGCGCTCCCTTTCCACACAGTATGTTCTAAAATGCATTTTCACCCAAGTCCAGTTCTGACCTCAGCCTGGGTTACACAGGTAGCCTGTAAGATGTACTAGATGAGTACACATACCTCAATGGGGTCTACATCATGAGCAATAACTACAAGCTGGGCCTTCTTGTTCTCCACCAGAGTTGTGACACTGTTAATACCTGAAAAACAAGGAATAGGTAACCTTCACTCAGTCCATTTATCAGAGCTTTCATGTCAGCCTCATAGAACCAGCTCAGACTCCATAGCAGATTCATTACAGAAGTTATGAAAACTTTCCACATCCACTCAGAAGATATTTCCTGGACAATCTACTAAAGCTCAGGGTTAAAAAGCTCGTCTATTTTGCTCTTCACTTTGAGATCAGGTGAAGAAATTCATACATCATTGCAATAGCTTGTCCAGTCCTGCCTGGCTGAAGCAGAGACTTTTCAGAGTCTCAAGTCCATGTACAAAGTTACCTGCTCGGAGAACTGGTGGCCGCTTAGTCGGAGCATCTCCCTTTCCTGCAGCTTTCTGCTCAGCACGAGCCAGCAGCCTCTGCTTCTTCTCATGCTTGTTTTCTGGCCTGTATTTGTGTGCCAGCTTCAGAAGCTGCGTAGCTGCAAGAGAACATCCACTGGTCAGCTGCACAGCCCGAAAAGCTAAGCATTACTTTTTAAAATACTGAAATGCATCAATGATCTTGGTAGTTGTCATCAAGTGTATTTAGACAGCAAAAGGTCAGCATCATCTGCACAGTGCAAGAATGGAGCACCTCCAGAGCACCTATTTACCTCTATATGTACCTCTGCTGCCAATGAGCTCCTTCCTTCACCCTTTGGATGAGTAAATGCCTGTGGACCCCCTCAGCAATTACAGTTAAATGTGGTGCACTTTCTCCTTTAAAGCAAGCAACTTCTATTACAGCATCTATGAAGAAATTGCTCTACATAGGTCAGAAAATTCTTGCATAGACACTAGCATTTGGAAAAGAACTATTTACTTCAGAAGTAAATAGTTCACACAAGACACTGAAGCCCTGTTTCAGTGTCAGCCTGCAAGATGCCAGCACTCCCCCAAGGCCTGTACACCCACACATTGCTCTAACTACATGTTTATTCAGATGAAGAACTGCAGGCGGTTCTGCAGCAAGCTGGAAGAATGGCCTCCTATGGAAACATGCAGTTGAGACAACCCTGGGTTTGCATCCTTAAGTGGGAGCTTTGGTATTTTCTATATCCCTTTTCAAGGTACACAGCAGCCATCAAGACTTAAGCCAGCAAATTCAGACAGCAGCTTGGTACGACATCACGCCTACCACTATTAAAGCCTCCCTAAAATGCTTCCAAAGATTCTCCCCAGCTTACCTTAGTTACGTCTTATTTCGGTTTCTTTCCTCCTCTGAAGCACATCCCATCAATGACCCAGGTCAAGACAACTGCATGTGGCACATCCTTACCTGTCTGGCGGTCCAAAGCCTGAGTGAACTGGTTAATGGCAGGAGGCACCTTCAAGCGCTTGTAAAGGATGGACCTCTGGCGCTGCAGCCTGATGTAGCGCGGCCATTTCACAAAACGCGTGAGGTCCCGCTTTGGCTGGATATCCTGTCCTGGAAACACAGAACCCTTTAACGCACAGCTGTTCCACAGCCATAGAGCAGCAGCATGGAACAGGCACGAGTGCATCAGAGATCTTGGTGGTGATATGTCAGCATTATCATTCAGATAGCAAATATTCTTTCACATCATCTGCACACCGTACAAAGATGGCACTACCGAAGTCTGAACTGAGTTACCATACTACATGCAAAAAGGAGAGATTAATCCCAACAGAACCATGGAATGAATCCAGGCAGTACAGAAAAAGCACACTGGCCATAACCACCCATCACATAACTGCCCTAATGAAGGGCAGCAGTGCCTTTATCATTGTCTCCACTCTCACAGCTTTATTACAGTACATGCCTGTTTACAATTTTGACATCTATTAACAAAATCCCCTGTTGACAGAGTAGCCCAAACGCTCACTTACCAATGCCAAAGTTCTTGGGCCTCTTCTCAAAGAGGGGATTGACGACTTTTTTGGCCTCCTGCTTCTTGACTACAGCAGGGGCTGGTGCCACCTTCTTGCCCTTTGCCTTCTTTCCTTTCGGCTGCAAGAAACAAACACACCCCTTTCTTCTTGTCCTTCCAATACTTGTGTACTCAAGAGCTTTCAGTCCCCCAGAAATGCATTTCTCCAGCCCGGCAGCCTCCAGCCCAGCCGTACTCTTCCAGAGAGAGGAATCCTTTCCCTTTGGCTTCAGGTGGTTTACGAGCCTCCCTGCTAGAGCCACCGTTTAAACCCGCGTGCTGACCCCCTCCGCCGCGCAGCCTCTGGCGTTCCGCAGTCCTGCGCTCCCCCAAACGGCCCACCGCGAGCCCGGGATCAGCCACGCAGGGGGAGAAACGATGCGGCCCGAGCCGGGCCAAGTCCCGAGTCCCTGCGCTCCGCGGCGGGCGACGAGGCCCAAACTGGGCCTTCCCCGGACCAGCCCCGCTTACCGCGAGCCGGGCACGCGCACCGCTCCACCCCCCTCGCCAGGCTACCGAACACCCGCGCGGTACTCCCCGCCGGGCCGCGGCGCAGCGGCAGCGGCGGATGGCGGCGGATGGCGGCCGATGAGCCCTGCCCCGCCCCGGCGGCCGCTCACCATCTTGGGCTGCGAGAGAAGAAGGAGGAGCAGCGCCTGCCGGGAAGTATCTGCGGGGCGCGACGTCTCGCGAGAGGACGGCGGCACGCGGGGGGAGGTGGGGCGCGGCGCGGGGCCGGCCCCGGCCCGTCCCGTCCCGTCCCGTCCAGTCCAGTCCCGCCCCGCCCAGTCCCGCCATGTCGCAGGCGCGCGCGCTGCCGCAGAGCAAGGAGACGCTGCTGCAGTCGTACAACAAACGGCTCCGCGACGACGTCAGGTCCATCCTGGACAACTTCACCGAGATCGTCAAAACGGCCAAGGTGCGGGGGGGGAAGCGAGCGGGGCCCTGCGGCCCGCGGCAGGGCTCGGGCGTGACGGCGGCCGTGTGCGCCCTTCTCTTTAGGTTGAAGACGAAACTCAAGTCTCTCGAGCAACCCAGGGTGAGCAGGACAACTACGAGATGCACGTCAGAGCTGCCAACATTGTGAGTAGCGCTCCGCTGGGCAAAGCGGTGGGCAGGGGCTGTTGGGTGCACTGTTGTTGGGTGCGCTGTTGGGTGCACTGTTGTTGGGTGCACTTTTGGGTACACTGTTGGATGCACTGTTGTTGGGTGCACTGTTGTTGGGAGCACTGGTGGATGCACTGTTGTTGGGTGCGCTGTTGGGTGCACTGTTGTTGGGTGCACTGTTGTTGGGTGCGCAGTTGGGTGCACTGTTGGGAGCACTGGTGGATGCACTGTTGTTGGGTGCACTGTTGTTGGGTGCACAGTTGGGTGCACTGTTGTTGGGTGCACTGTTGGATGCACTGTTGTTGGGTGCACTGTTGGGAGCACTGTTGTTGGGTGCACTGTTGTTGGGTGCACTGTTTTTGGGTGCACTGTTGGGTGCAGTGTTGGGTGCACTGTTGCTGGGTGCACTGTTGGGTGCACTGTTGTTCGGTGCACTGTTGGGAGCACTGTTGTTGGGAGCACTGTTGTTGGGTGCACTGTTGTTGGGTGCACTGTTGGGTGCACAGTTGTTGGGTGCACAGTTGTTGGGTGCAGTGTTGGGTGCACTGTTGTTGGGTGCAGTGTTGGGTGCACTGGTGTTGGGTGCACTGTTGTTGGGTGCACTGTTGTTGGGTGCACAGTTGTTGGGTGCACAGTTGTTGGGTGCACTGTTGGGTGCATTGTTGTTGGGTGCACTGTTGGGTGCACTGTTGTTGGGTGCACTGTTGTTGGGTGCACTGTTGGGTGCACTGTTGGGTGCACTGTTGCTGGGTGCACTGTTGGGTGCACTGTTGTTGGGTGCACTGTTGGGAGCACTGTTGTTGGGAGCACTGTTGTTGGGTGCACTGTTGCACCGAGGGCAGCCTTTATACCGCTCACAAGGACTGCTGCTAGCTGGCCGTTGAGGTGGCTGGGGAAGGCAGGGTAGCCTGGCTTGTCAGCTGCAGGCTTCTGTCAAAGTCCTCATGGAATGTGGGATTTTTTACTTTATTCGAAGCTTGGGCTGAAAGAGCAGCTTAGGGGATCTTGGTTTAGAATTGGAGCAAAGCACCGTTTTGATATGCTGTGGTTTTTCTTTCTGCTACAAGGTCCGAGCTGGTGAATCCCTGATGAAACTTGTGTCTGACCTGAAGCAATTTTTGATCCTCAATGATTTCCCCTCTGTGAATGAAGCTATCAACCAGCGCAACCAGCAGCTGAGAAGCTTGCAGGAGGAATGTGACAAGAAATTGATTGCACTGCGGGATGAGATCTCCATTGACCTGTATGAGCTAGAAGAAGAATATTACTCGTCCAGGTACAAATAGGCAGTGGACTTCTGCCTCATGACTCCATGGGGTGGTTAGTCCACACAAACAAGTAGTCCTTAAAGTACAGGTCTTGGGAATGTTCCCAGCAAAACTTTACTCCTGTTTTTAATTAGGTCAAACTTTTTCTACAGCTAAACTGCCTTTTCCTTGTGGATACCCTACAGAGTATGAATATCATAGGGAAGGAGGTGTTCACAGTATCCAACTCTAGGTCCTTGCTGTATTTGGCTAGATTTGACAGATAATCTGTTTAGGCTTCCTTTGTAATCATTGTAAAAAGAGATGAATTTCCTTTTGAGTATAGACTTCTGTCTGAGTATCCCTCTGAAGGAGCCTCTGTCTCCAGAGAGGCTAGGTTGCTGAGCTGGGTTCTAATGTTAGAGGAAATCAGCACGTCCTCATGGTGAGTTTTTTCACAAGTGACCTGGTCACACAGTGTGCCTTTTTCCCTATAGTCCCCGGCCTCCTGGAGTCCTGTGGGGGTGAGCGGGTGAGCGCTTGAAACGAACACAAGAGATTTGCTCGGTTTCATTGAATAATGAAGCGTTGTGATAGGATTTTCTACGGAATAACAAATTGTTACTGATTTGTGGGATTTTTAATATTTTTAAAATACTCTTACTTAGAAAACAGGCTTTAGAGGATTTAGACACACTATCTTTTTATCTTCTGTCATGCACTCCAGCACTTCTAGTTGATGATGCAGTAAAGTGGGAGAAAGCAACTGAGAACCTGATTAATTCGGCTGTACTGTCTGAGCTAAGCAAAGTCAGTGCAATAATGCTATGCCTTCCAAACGAAGACTTAGCTTTTAAAAACCTTACTTAAAATTTTAATGCACAGGATTTCTATTTTTACCTTTCCCTTCTTTCTAAAAATGCCGAATGCCTGTTACCCCAGCTAAGGCAACTAAACCTTAATTGCTCAATATTTTTGGAAGTTAGGCCATTGGTTTTGAGTAATGTATGTATTTTAAGAGTAAAAAGATGTTGATATGACATAGCTTAGGAACTGCTATGACATTGGAAGAGAACTAGAGGTAGATGTTTACAGTTGTTTTTCAAACTTTGGTCATTCTTGGGTGGAGGGGGAGCAAGAGATCCCGGAAACAGCACAGCAATGAAGAGTGACAGTCACAAACTCACACATCAGCCCAGGCTCTGATGGGTCAGTGGTGCATCCCCTACACATGCTGTATCCACACAACAGTGCGACATGCTGTGGCTGATAGTGCCTCGCGTGTGCCAGATGTCACCATGCTGTCACCAGACTGACACTGCTGTGTGTCAGTAGCTTTGACTTTTGGCTTAGGGGGTTGTGGCCATGCTGGCATAGTCTGTTCACCTGCCTGGTACCAGCTGCTGCGTAAAGCGACCCTTCGTAACAGAACTGTTGTCTAAGAACAAGTGTTGGCGTACACCAAATGGATTTGCCTTTGTGTTCTGTCTTGTAAGAGTGGTCAGGAGGTGAGGAAACTCTGCAGCTCTGCAGAGCTGTGATCTGAAACTTTTGTCATGTAGCACTTAGTCATTTGCTTTTAGCACTTGTTCCTTTCCTGTGCTCTTTCCTGTCTTTCTGCACCAAAGAAATTGTACGTGTGTAAATATAGAAATAGTAATTTATTTAAAGTCCTTTTATAATTGGGGTATTAAGATATTTTTAATGAAACTTTAATGTCTAATGTGGAGAAAAAGGGTTTCTGTTATGTCACATAGTCGTAGAGTGATAATCACGTTCAAATGGCTGTAGTAGCTGGTTTGCCCACAGACACACATTCTGTGTGGTCCTGGGAGCCCAGTTGCGATTGTCTCTTTGCACCATCTGTTACTTCCTCATGGGTCCTGAGTCCACAGGATCTCCTTAAGAGGTGTGCAGTCCCATGAGGCCCAGCCATGGGTTCCACACAGGCATCCTTCCAGCCTTTCTCCCATGTGCCCGTGCCCCTGAAGGTCACTGGTTTATTTTAGGTTGTTCCTCCAGGGGAGGCTGCAGCAAAGCGAGCTCTCTGCAGCGGCATTGAGCTGCCCCAGGCTGCGGAGCTTTGTTCTCTGTGCTCTGTTCCTGACCACTGTGACCAGCCTGTGGAAGGGAGTGTCTCCTGTCCAGGTCTGTCACTGTCATTGTGCTAAAGGGGCTTAGGAGGCAGGCCCTTGCCATAGTAAGCAACTAACAGGATGTGTTGCAGTTGTACGGCCAGGTTTTCACTGCTAGGCTTTTATTGCATACATGAGGGTTTTGATGAGGAGACCTGAAAGCAGGTCTTTGAAACTTAAAGATTGTTCTGAAGGAATCTTTGCTTTCAGTTCCTGTGCTCAGGCAGTTTCCTAAAGATGCTTCTCAGGAGTTTCTCTGCGCATAGACCTGGCTGCATGCCTCGAGGGGGGTAGTGAAGTCCCTTCCATGCACTGAGAAGACCTCAGTCAAAGGACAGAGTAGCAGTGGGCTACGGTGAGCAGTAGCTGCTTTGTTGACCCTAACTTTTGAGGAGCATAAGGTGAGAGGTGAAGCTCAGACTTTTGGAACTGTTCTATCTCAAGTAGCAGGAGAAGTGGTTATGCTTCTGATGGAGCTAGAATGTTGTTAGTAACTCCCCTGCCCATATGGGGTGGATGCTGTGACCGGGTTCTCCTGGGAAAGCCTGGCCTGAGGTCTAAGGCTGACAGAAGAGGAATTGTAGTTCTGGTCGGGTCCTGAAGGTCTTTGCTAGTTGAACTCAGCTGCACTGTGTGTTGGGGGCTGTAGGGAAGAGTGATCTTCTAAGGGATTTTACAAGGCTCCAGGTACAAAACCTGCATCCACTGCTTTCCCACTTCTACTGCAAACCTGGTCGACGATGCTGCCAGAAAAGAGCTTAGAGTTAGATGCTTGCAACTCGTGCTTTGTGTGCTTATTCCCCAAAGCGGTAACTCGAAGCCCAGCTTGCCTTCTCTCATCCTCAACCCCAAACCTGCATTTATGTTCCATTGTTCCCATCTCTGGGACCATGGAGTCCGTCTTGAGTGTGGGGTTAGATCTCAGCACGTTTCATGCTTGTGCAATTTGAAGTGTCTCGTATTTCTACACTTAAAATATTTCCTGAAGCATCTATTCAAGTCCATACATTAAAAATGTAAATAAAGCTGCAACAACAAAATCACTTGACCCACTGGGTTTGTTTTACTCTGAACACAAGCTGCTTTCTGCTCTAGCACTCATTTTGTCTTGGGTGTCTCCTATGTGTGCAGCTTCTTCCTCTGAGGAATTTGTTTTGGTTTTGTTGCGGTTTCTTCCGTGATTTTCCTTTATAGTTTTGGCCTTTCCACCTTGTCTTTTTCTCAGAGCACAGACCAGAGTTAGCCAGTTCTGTACAAAACATCCCTTCCCACAGTGCTGGCTTACCCAGCTCCACAGTCTGCAGTGGGCAAACCCAGCAGCTGCTTTTAGCAGTGCTGTTGGCTCAGGTTCTGCTGAATAGGAGCCTTCGGTACCTTGTGGGCTGGGCAGCTTCGAGAGAAGACCCAGAGCTGCTGCAGAGCTTTTCTGAAGAGGTGTGCATCAGTTCCTTCTGTGCCATGACAGGGAGAGACCCTAAGCCAACAGTGCTAGGGGTGTTTTCTGTACTGAAATTTAGAGCAAGATTTGGTATTTTTTCCTCACTTAGGTTGTGATCTAATTCCAAGTAAAATAATGATGGTGTGGTCCTTGCCTCACTCAGACTAGTAGCAGGATTCCTATGGGGTGCCAGAACTTCAGTCCATATGTTTTCAGGGGCTTGGAGCATCAGGACTGGAGTTGAGCTCTGTTTCAGTTTGTAGCAATGATTCTGTCTCTGAAGTTCCCCTGATCTCACCAGACCCATCAGGTTCAAGACCAGCCCTGAGCAGGTGTCCTAGGGAAGGCGGGTGTCACAAGGCTTGTGATGAATTCCTGAGCCCGGGCCTGGCATCTAGGAGCCATGTTTTAAGATTTTCTCAATGCTTTGCTTCTGTCCTGCTCTCCCCTGCCTGCCCCTCCTCCCCCCCTTACTGCACTGCTGCCTCTCCTTACTGGGTTGTTTGTTCTGTAAAGCTACAGTCTGTGTGACAGCAACGACCTCCCGCTGTGCGAAGCCTACTGGGGACACGACTTTGCCACGCTGTCTCCTGAAAGCCTCTCCACGCCTCTGTCGGCGGCTGTAGCAGAGCAGAGCGCGGCCGCCGCGCAGAGCTCCGCCCCAGCGCCCCCCTCCGGCCACGGGCATGGCGCAGGCCCCGCCGAGCACTCCTGAGGAGCATCCCCTGCCGCTGCGCGCGTGCCTCCAGCGCTCTGTGCTGCTGGAAGTCTTCCACCTGCTGAACTGAAGAGCGTCGCCCATGGGCAGGAGAAGGCACTGGAGCTGTGTTTGCAGGTAAGTTTCTGCTCCCTGGACAGCTACGGTGCCTTCTCTACCGCAGGACATTGCCAAGAGTGTTCCTCTCCCATAAGAGATTGTTCTAACAAGTTAGAGTCAGGTTTGCTTTTACATGATTACATTATGTGTTGTTACATGTTGTGTTCATTTGATACCCCGTTTGTGTGGATCTCAGTAAGTAAACACTGGAGCGTTGGGAGCTGAAGTTTTTGGGGATAAACCTGAGCCAAACCATGAGGCAATGAATGTTTTGGAGTATTCACCCTGTTTCACAAGGTTACGGACATCCTGCTGCTTTAAAACTCTCAGGATGGCATCCATCAGCCTCTGTTCTCTGCACAGGGCAGTAAGGACCTTGCAGTGTTTCTTACACAGCAGGCCTCAGTGTCCAACTTGCTCACAGCCATTTGGGAAGGTGCTCTCAGGAGGCCCTTACCAAGGACCAGTGTACTCCCTTTGAAGTGCAAAGGGCACATAGGAATGGGGTAGGTCCTGGTGATGCCACCTGTCGAGGCCACTGGCAGGAGCAGTGGCAGGCTCTGATTGCTCTGGTTCCTTTCTCAATGTTAACACAAAAAGTTTCTATTAACTCTGTGTGAGCTACCCGGACGCTGGTGTTTGTGTTGCCGGCGCTGTGTCTAACTGGGCAGTGGGGTGTGCAGAGCAGGGTGGTTCTGCTCTTCCTCTCGTACTTTCCTCCCAGGTCGGCAGCCTCCCCCTCGGGCCGTGCTGAGCCCGCGGAGCCCGGCTTCTCGCGCCTGCAGCGCTCTGCCCGGGCCGCCTTCCTGAGCGCGTGCGTTTTGGTTTTCCTTCATTCCATTTGTTTTTGTAATTCGGTCACTCAATAAAGCTCTTTTGTATCCTCTGCCACGCGTGTGTTTTAACCGGCCTCCTGGAAACACGGCCGTGGTGAGCGTGCGCCGAGAAGCTCCGCTCCGGCCGCAGCGCGCCGCCGGTACCCCCGTGTCCGCCAACGCCGCGCAGGCTGCGCGCGCTGTCCCGCGGCCCAGCCACGACCAATGCGGGCCCGCCGCCGGCTCGCTGTCGTCACTTCCTGCTCGGCGCGGGCTGAGGTCACGTCCTGCCGGTGGGGGTGCTGAGGACCAGCGGCGCCGCTATGGGCAGCCTGGCCCCAGGGCCGAGCATGGCCGCGCAGGACTCGTACTTGCAGGGCCTGGCCAGGAGGGTCCGCGCGCAGCTGGCGCCGGAGTCGCGGAAAAGGAAATTCGGTAACGGACCGCAGCGGTTCACCCCCTGCCGCTCCGGGCCGGTGCGCGGGGCCTGGCTCCTGACAGCCGCCCCTCTCTCCGCGGGTGCTTGGCCCAGGGGAGGCTGATGTGCCGGTTTGTAAGGAACAAGCCCCATAGTTTGTGCTGCAACACGGGGCTCCTGAGCACTCTGCGGTGTTACACAGGGGAAGCAGTGGTCTCCGCTCACTTTATACACGTGGCGATTGGATGGGGGGAACTGGGACTTCACTGAAGTGTACAAGCATGTTATTGGGCTATTTAAATAAACCCTATAATATGTAATTTTTAAAGGTTTAGAAATGCCATTGAAATACTGGAACTTCAGCGTTCAGTAATATCTTGACATTGTGAAGTGGGAATGTTGTGCTTGTTTGCGTGATTTGGTTTTGCCTTCTAGTGCCTCAGCCAGGGCAGTCTGAGGATGCTGGCAGGCAGATCAAGAAAAAGAAGAGAAAGAAACCCAGGAAGCAAGCTGAGAAGGTGAACACGCCTTCAGTCAAACAGACGGTCTCTAACGCAAACAAACCTGCTCCAGGACAGAGGGCAACTCCTCAGCCCAGCAAAGCATCTCCAGACAGTGCTGCACAGAGCAGAAGTGAGAGCTTGGTCACAGGTGAGAATGCCAGCATTGCCATGGTCAGGTTAAAGTGTCGTGAGCTGAGGTAGCTGCTTTTTGGTTGCTTCACACACACGTGTAGTTCAGAAAGCCTTTAAAAAGTTCATCTGAATTGAAGACATCTTGGCTTATTTCATGTGTCCTCAAAACTGTTGTGCACATACAGAAATTGGGTGGCTCTTGGGAAAATGTGTTTAGCCTGAGCTGCACTTTTAGTGTATCTGGTAAGTCTCTGCTGCAGTCTCTGCCGTGCCAGCTCAGCTTTCCATTGACAGCATAAAAAGCCTGGTCACCAAGAAAACATCAGTGTCTTAGTTTCCACCAGCCAGGTACTTGTCTTCTGACAGCCACAGAGAATGCCAGGCTGTGTCTAAATGACAATATGGGTAGAAAAGGGGGAATTAATTCTAAAGAAACCAAAGAAATAGAAACTTTTGGCTTGTTTAGATTTTCCATTCTGTTCACAGCATCTGCAGAGTTCTCAGAGCTTTTTCCATAGCCACAGAAAGTTCTGCTTAGTTAGTGCTGTCATTTAAGTCTGTTTTCTTCCTCTTGTTTTCAGGGAGCAAAAGTGATCTGGATTCCCCTTCCTTTTCTGCGATAAATCTCTTGCGTCAGAGACTACATGAGAAGATTAAAAAAGCTTCTGGACAAGTATGAGAATTCTTTAACATGTATCCATACATGTGTTAATGCAGTAGGCATTCTCCCTGGCCTTCCAGGGGTGTGGGGACAAAACTCAGGGTTTGGGCTCTGTCCATCCCCACAGGAAGTGCCAGGGGGTGTTGCTGGGGTGTTCTCTGGTATGTGAGAAGAGCCAGAGCCTGGCCAAGGGAGCAGTGCCCCCAGTGATCCGTAGTAAGAAGAGCACTAAGAACCTGAAAGGGAGCGTAGCTATAGGGTGTTGAGAGAGGGTAAGGGGTTTGAAACACCTTTACTGTCCTTAGTGTCTCTGAATGCTGCGCCCATGACTTCTTGTCACAAGTCACACATTTCTTGTGAGAGATTTGAAATTGGGAACTTGAGGACTTTTAATTCTGATTTATCCCTGTAAGGCTCCTGATTTATGTCCATCCTCCTTCTTAGGATGATGCCAAAGAATTGCCCCCTGCAGTCCTGGAGAAGAGGCAGCGAAGGAAATATGAGAGAGAGAGAAAGAAGCGTCGAAGAAAGGAGCTGATAATGAAGGCAAAAACAGAGAAGAAAGAAACTGAGGAGGTACCGGTAGAGCCAGAAAGCAAAAAGGAGAGCGAAGCTGAAATCGTCTTCAACAGGGTTGAAGTCCATGAAGAGAATGAGCTGAGCAAGATCCAGAAAAAGAAAGAGAAGAGGAAAGCAGTGAAAGGCAAAATCACTCCTCTGACAGGCAAAAACTACAAGCAGCTCCTGAGCAGGCTGGAGACCAGGAAGAATAAGCTGGAGGAACTCAAGGATAAGGACGAGAAGAAAGCTCAGGAGCTAGAGAACAAGATGAAGTGGACAAATGTTCTCTACAAGGCGGAGGGTGTGAAGATTCGTGACAATGAGGAGCGCCTGAAAGAAGCCCTGAAGCGTAAGGAGAAGCGTAAAGCGCAGCACCAGAAGCAGTGGGAGAAGCGTACAGAAAAAGTCGTGGAAAAGATGCAGCAGCGGCAGGAAAAGCGTCGCAAGAACATTCAGAAGAAGAAAAAAGACAGGATAGAGAAGAAGAAAGCCAGGGCCCGGAAGAAAGGCCGAGTTCTGCCAGAGGACTTGAAAAAAGCTGGCTTGAATTGAGCTCGGGGCTCTGCCAGGTGGGGAGTAACGGGACATGGTCTGTCTGCCTGCCTGCCTGCCTGCAGCTGCGGCCCAAGCAGGCAGTGCCCGAGGAAACCCGGCGGTTTTGTAATAAACTTTGTAATAAGCCAGCCCGTTGTGTCCTTGGCCGTTAAATTTCCTGTCCCCTTCTGGCTGATACATCGCCAGCATCATCATCATCATTGTCCCAACGGGGGGTGTCGCTCCGGCGCGGGCGCGGTGCTGGAAGGGGCGCGGAGCCCTAGTGCCGTAGTTGCCCGGGGTGGGGCGGGACGGGACGTCCCGAGGCCCCGCCCTCCGCGCTGCTATGGCGACGAGGACGCCTCCACTGCCGCGGCGCGGTGCCGGGGCGCCGCGCGGCGCGGCTGTTGCGCTGAGGGCTTGGCGGCGGCCGGGCCCCCTGGCCGCAGAAGGGGCCTTGCTCTTCAGTCCAGGGCCCTCGGACACCGGGAGTCATCGCATACCTTTGGATCACCGGAACGCTCCGCCTGCAGCAGTTTCAGTGGAAGCCATGTAGTTGCCATGTAGTTTTGGCCTGCGTAAAGCCTTTAAACCCTTTGTCCCGCAGCTTCTAAACCTCATTTCTTCTGGAAACAGACCTGGAAGTTGGCTGCGGGGGCTGCGTGCCAACGGTGGGAGGTGTGCGCCGCGTTCCAGGCAGGGAAGTTACTTAGTATGCTCTTTGGATGAAGTAAGAACTGGGCTAGGTTTCCTATGAAGAGAGGAAGGCTTGCTTAGGTATGGATTCAGAAATTCCTACTGATGCCAAGTTGCTACAGCGTTACCAGCAGCAGGGTGCTGAAAGAGCAGCCTACAATGCGTCCACACAGGAGCCACCATTGTACAGGTAGAGAACAGGAGCGTAAAACCCCATTTATGTGTTGATGATTACAGGTATGGAGACTAAGATTTGAACTGGGACTTAGACATGCCTGAATTCTTGGTCACAGCACTAACAACTTGTAAAGGACTGTATAGTGCTGCCTGTTGCAGTGCTCATTAACATGCTAATTTTGCAGTGGCACACACATTGTATGGCTTTTCTTTTAAAAAGAAATTGTAGGTCTTTTTTATTCAAAGGAATCCAAACCACACCTGGTTTGATATGTGGTTTTGAACTCTGTTTTAGACTATGTTAATGGTTTACATGATGATGAAGTAATGATTATGTAATAAGCAAAAATTAGATCAGTGTGTCTATCCTTTTCACCCTAATCCTTCTGCTGAATAATGACACCTTTATCCTCACTTCCTCTGAGGAGAAACACAGTACCCCAGCTGATGGGAAGAGCAGTGGGCAGATAAAGGCTACTTCCACATTTCTCACTAGAATCTTACTAAACAGTTCATAGATCTTTATACCTTTTAAAGATAGCATGTATATCTTTGTAGTTTGCACGTCTAGCATTTATTGCTTTTGTGCCATCACACCAGTTTGGATCTTGTGATAAACGTAGGCTAATTCTTCAGTTCATCTCAGAAGAAGGAACTTTGAATCTTTGAATCATATTTTTTGAAATTAGAATTATGCTCATGTTCACTTAAATGTTACATTTTGCCAATTACATTGAATATTATACCACTGCAAGTCCCTCCTCTTATGTATTTAGTGCAAATCAAAGCTTTATTCTCTTTCTGTTTCAGAGAAGCTACAATATTTCAGAAGGCTTGCAGAAGTGTCAGTCTAGATGCATCTGAGGAAGTCAGATCCCTTCCTCATTTTATCGGTAAAATATATTTCCTTTAATCATAGAATCATCCAAGTTGGAAAAGACCTTTAAGATCATCAAATGCACCCATTACCCCAGGACTGCCAAAACCACCACTAAGTCATGTCACTGAAGGAAATGTCAGATATTTAAATTTGCCTTCTTGGGAACCACCCTACATATAATCATTTCAGCTGAACAAGGTATGAAATCAAACTCAGAAATGACCTGACATCTTCATGTGGATCAGGGTTGCCTAGAACCACATCTAGCCTGGCCTTGAATGTCTCCTGGGATGGTGCAGTTGATCAATAATACCTGAACTTAGTTCATAGTTTCCATGCTTTTATCATTCTGAAAATTACAAATTAATAAAATCAAAGGAATTTTTAATATATGCTTTGCTATTTTTAATCTACATTTGCATAGATTTCCTTCTAGTGGAAAGCTGTCATGCACTGTAACAGCTGCAGTAACTACAGAGCTCAGAGCATGGATTTAGGGATTCATTGTGCATACATTACATTTTCTGCAGCAACAGTACCAAGCTACATCATCCTCATTTCTTCTTGGCAGTTCCTGAGGAAATGAGGAGTAATATCTTGGAACGCCTGTCAGAACACCGGCGAGGCCGCCATGATGAAGCACTAACCTCAATGTATCATGAGCTTACCTGCATTGCCAGGGTAAGACTGGGTTTTGTAATTCAGATAGTCTTTAAGTCCTATGCTAAAGTCAAGGCCTAATGCTGAAAAGATTGCACTGACTTCCTTACTTTTTTAGGAGATGGAGCCCTTTGTTTTGGAGCCTGGAAAATTCCTTCTGACAAAACTGATGGAATCCGATAGAAAAATTGAACATCTGTTTAAAAAGATTGAGTTTGCCACTACTCTGGAAGGTTTCTCAATTGAAGTAAGGCAGCTTATGCCATTGTCTCCTCCTCAATTCTTTGTACCTGGTCTGCGTAACAACTTCTTATGTCTTGCTGTAGTTTTAAGAGATATATAAATGCCTTTTTTTTTTTTCCTGATACTTCATTTTCAGTGAAAGTGAAAATAAATCCTTCTTGCAGGGTTTGGAAGAACTGTGGAGTATCATCCACCAGGAATCCTTAACCAGAAGGAAGTGGATTAAGAAAATGGATGAATCCCTAAAAAAGGTTGAAAGAAGTCGAGCTGATCAAGTGAGCTGTGTTCTTCATATCTGTTAATTCAGCATAAGATGGTTTTTTGCTTCTGGTGTTGGGTGTAGTGCAGAGAGTAGTTTGTTTCCACAGGAGCCAAAGACATCTGCCGGGGGTTCTGTTGCATAGGCAATTACCGTCTTTTCACCAGTAGATTCTCTCATACCTACATAATCAGAAAATACGTCTTTACCAGTTACAAGGTGTTTGTTTCATTCACAATTACTTGTATTAAAGATGCAAGGGACATGTGAGCTGCTTTTATTTTTCTGCAGAGTTAGTTAGGTCAAACTGTAGCAGGTCTGAGGTTATTTTGTTGGGAGACACCTACTCTGCTGCTGGGCGCTGCCCAAGCTGGTTGGGGTTTGGTCAGGCTGGGTATCAGTAATAGATGTGCTATGCTTCTGCAGGCTTCAGCCTGACCTGTAAGTCACTTGAGATCACAGGAAATGTGAAGATAAGTAAACAAATAGCCCATAAGGAAGTCCTTGCTGCTTTGTCCTTGCAGGCAGACAAAAGCTGTCTGTTATACTCATGTCAGTTTGTCCTCTCTTTGTAATGAAGACACTGTAAATAGATCCAATAATTTTTCTATTTGATTAGTTAAAAAAATTACCAGAGATGACCATGTTTGCTTAAATCCACCAAGCACTGGTGGATTCACTGCAGGTATTTGAAAGGAAGTTGGTTTAATTTTTAAATTCAAATTGCAGCCTGGCTGCAGAGCACTCACTCATCACAGCTATTGAAGAGAAATTGGTTGAGTAGTAACAAAATGGAATGTTTTAGTTACTATTTATATGAGTGATTTAAAAATGTCAGTATTTAAGATTTTAAGTATTTTAAGATTCTGTCTGATTTTATTGTAATGGAAAAAAATGGTTTGTTCATAGCATTGCTTAACTTTGGAAAGTGACGTTGGAGTTACACAGATTTTTTTTGTTCTTTATTCTTTTATTGCACAGATAACAGCTGTGCTGAGGAAGTATACTGTGATACTGGAAAACATTTCCTTCTGCTTGTCGGCTGATGTTTACAGGCTGATAAACAATGAGGCCATGGTAAATCTTTCATCCTGAGAGGCTGGTTTACTTGTGAGAAGTAGCAATCAGTATTCCCAGAGTGTCTTCTTTTCCAACTGAAATTCATTATTTCTACTTACCAATCCCTGCCTGTAGGAAAGCTTTTTATTTTGCAGGATATTCTTTATGATTTATATCATTTGTATTTCCCACTCATTTTACACAGAACATGCTCTTTTTCTTTTCTTTTTTTTTTTAATATTTTATGCTGCTTTTATTCCTGTTTTGAATTTTTACTGCACAGCTCATTAACAGAGCACTGTTGGCTAACCAGAGGGCAATTGCCAAGCTGTTCTGTAATCTAATGAAATCAGAGCTGAAGAAGGAATTATTCCATCGATTGAAATGGCAAGACAGAGTCAAAGACTGGAAGCTCATCCAAAAGAACTGTATAGTTCACAGTTTCAGGTCAGATATTTTCCAGTTATGTTTTGATGTATGAATAAGACACAGTGACAAGTGTCCCAAACAGATACTTACTTCAGTGTATTCTTCAATCCTACAGAGAATTTATGGCAAATGAAGAAATACAGAATCCGCCATCTGTGAAAAAAGAAATGGAAAATATGATAACAGATCAGATTTTACTTGGTGAAAGGAGACTGGAGTTTTTGCAGCACCTGGGGTATGACAAAAGAGAACAGGAACAAAGGAAAATATAATTATTTCTAGAGTTGATGAAGGTTTTGATAGCAAAATGCAGTTTGCTCTCTTTCAGTGTGTGATTGTACAATGTAGCAGTAAGGCAGGGCCAGAACTTCATTTGTAAAGCTATGTTTAATGGAAAAAAAAGCACTCTTGGTTTTGAGTGCACCACTTACACTAAATGGGGGGGATCGAGGGCTAGAAATGCAGGCACACGAAAGTAAATATTCCTAACCTTTAAAACATGTTAGAAAGGGGCAGACAAGTATGGGTGGATTGTATAAACTGGTGATCTTGTCAAGGCATTATTGCTGGGAGGAAGTTTAATTTGCATAATAAATTAAGAAAGAAGTCTTTATGGAACTCTAACACTGCTACATTTGCATGTCCATCCTGACCAGAAGATGGTTTGGGTGCAATGCATTACCATATTTTACATTTTTTCTTTTACAATGTATGTAGCAGCAAGATAGATTACAGTTAGTTCCCTGCTGGTGAGCAGTGGTCTTGGTGAACAGCAGTGATTTTATTTTCATTGTGTCCCTTAAGATATCCCATATAATCCCATAATTGTATCCCTTAAGAGCCAACCGGATTCTATTTTTAAGATATCTGACTCTTGTTTCGTATTTCAATAGTGACTTGTTGCCTCCAACGCACACAAAAGCTGAGATAAGTGAGTGGTACAGATCTTTGGTGAATTTAAACAAAAGTATAGGTAAGTTGAGAAATCATAAAACCAGTCTGTAATTCAAGCAATTCCAGGCAACACTGAGCCAGACAGTTGCTTTGAAGTATTTGTTTGCTATGTTTGTTCCATGGGTTTCCATATATCTTCTAAGTTGCTTTGAGCTGGCAATAGTACCCAAATAAACTGTCCATTGCCTTGCATCCCTTTTGCCAGCACATTTTTTCATGGTGATATGCAGCAGGAACTGACTTGGTTAGAATTAATCTGGGGGAAATAGAAGGTTAATCTTAATGCAGATCAGTTCTCAATAATATAAAAATACTCCTCTTGGAGAATGAGAGGGGAAGCATTTGGAGTCCTTCCTTCCTCCGAGTCTTATAGTGTGCTTGCTTTCTGTGTGTCTACATTCTCCTGAACACATCCTGTCTTAATGTTTGTAGCCTCTATAGCAGCAAAGAAGTTGCTAGTGATTGTAAATAACTCACTACCTTTAAACATAATAATGAAAAGATTTGTATTAAAACACCTTCTTGGTTGATAGTATTACATACATGTGAAGACACTACCGGGATATGTTACCTGTGCTGAGACTCAGCAGAGGCCCTCATTTCACACTGCATTGTGAAATACAGAACGCTTTACACTGTTCTTCCCTGTTATTCCATGTCCTTAAGATACCTACAACGTGCAGTATATGAGGAAAATACGTATCCAGTACGAGAGAGTGCAGCAGACGTGTTTGGCAGCCATGCAGCTGCACAAGGTATCAGGTATCAGCTTTGCAAGTTCTTGGAAGGATTGCTAGTAACAGTGTACAACAGGTTGTTACATTAATACATGTTTGAGTATCCGCCAAACATGAGATAACAAGTGAAATTACTTTTTTAACCTGTCTTATGTTAGAAAAGTTACTGTCCATTTTGTTTCACAGTATCATATGGTATTTGTACTTGAGATGTGTAAAAGCAGTAAAAAACGCCAGCAGTGAAAGGAGTACTGTGCCACGTTTAAGTGGAGAACCCAGGGTCACAACCCTCAGTCATTGTGCTGAATCTCTCTTTTCTTGGGAAAGAAATTCCACCTCTCTGCCTTAATTTCTACCTTTGGGTCCAAATGGAATTGTACTGTTTACTAACAGTATGTGAGATTCGGGGGGGGGGGGTGGGGGGGGTGGGGGGGTGGTGGTGGTGGTGGAATGGGGTGTGTGCTGAATCTTTTTCTATTTATTCACAAGAAAAGAAGAAACACCAAGTTTATCCATACTCTCTAAAAGCCACACAGTGTTTGTTACATTATGTGTATGTCAATAACTTAGCATTCTTTTTCTTTAGAATAACTTGTTGAGTCTAAATATTTGCACAAAAGAAGAGGCTGAAGAAACTGTGAATTGTGACTTTCTTCAGTTGACTGAGAAACTAGAAAATCGCTTTGAAGAAGAGCTGGAGCATATGGATGTATGCTTATTACATTTGGTTTTCTTACTCTCTGTTCTCCCTGCGCTACTGCCTGAAATGCTACGTGCATCTTAGGCTGCTGCTGTCATATCAGAGGTCTAGAATGTGACTCAACACCTGCCCCACAAATAAAAACAGTTTGGTATGATTCAAGAAGAGTTCCTAATTGTTTGGTTTATAATAGGTTATCATGGATTAATTAGATATAGCACATCCTGCCTGGAGGCAGGGAATAGGTATAAGTGATATCCCAAATTTCTTTCAATCCTATCTTTTATGATTCCATACATGAAAGTGGCTGGGCAGTTGTTCCTAAAATGATAGGTAGCCCAATACTTCAGGACATGTGCTGAACTTGGTGATTCCGTGCTTTACAGTACCAGAGTAATAAATAGGAGTTTTAGTATCTCAGCTTCTAGAACAAAAGTCCTCATTCCTCCTTGGTTTACTTGGACTATTTTTTCCTCTCCAAATAGAAGAGGCCATGTTGAATATTGATAGCACACTGCCAGGTAGCCGCCTAACATGTCATATGTCCCCTTACTCATTCATTTCACCTTCCAGCAACAGTTTAGTAGTAACTGGTTCACTTTAATGTCTTTCTTTAGAGAGACTTTGAGGAGCTGGCTAAACAGCATGACCAGAATTGTGAAGACTTGTACAACTATTTTCAGGAGGCCATGGGTCTCTGGGATGTTCATCAGCTCAAACTGTCTCAGCGGGAAGATCAACTTCAGAAGAAATTAGATGAATGCAGACGGGAACACGATAACTTAACTCAGGTATAAACATAAACCCAAGGATGCAGTATGATGTAAAGAGAGGACTTGTTAATGCAGAGAACCCTCTGGAATTCAAAATACCTGCTATAAAATTTACAACATTATCTTTGACGTAATACTGGAATTTCTACAGAGGAGTTTCATTGAGTTAGGTAAACTTTTTGCTGCTTGATTCACACTTAATGTACAGTCATGCTTTATTCTTGACATGGCAAAGGTGATAAAGATTGTATTTTATGTATTGAGTTGGCTACAAGTTTCTGTTACTCATAAGATCTTGTACAGTTGTACGGTCTTGTTTGTGTGTCAAATTCTTGAATTATGGGTATAACATGCAACTTGGGGTGGAAATGCCAGAGATGTTCATTATCTATGAAAGATCTTCAGAGAATATGAGTTTTTCTAAGGTAGCTTCCCTTCTTGGTGTAGAATATATGTACCTAATTAAATTATTTGAATCCTAAATAGTGATGAAACATTTTAGTAATTACAAATAATTTTTACTGGCTTCTTCTTATGTGGCCCTAGATGCTGGAAGCTAATCTGGATATAATTTTGGATAAAATGAGAAGAGAAAGCTCCAAAGAAAATCTGAAGAAATATTTGGAGAATGCATTTTCTTCTTTAGATGACATCAGAGCTAGGTATGAGTTTTGTAGGTGCAAACTTAAAAAGTAAAGCGCGTTTAAATGTTGCTTGTGTTACTTAGGTCTTGCTTATGCTGTAGTGTGAAAGCGTGAAAGGCACTGCTTGCTACTTCATCTAAGAATGTAAAATAAAATCATTTCTATACTGAATGAAGTTAAGGCAAAATATACCCACATATTAGAAGGGAGACTGATAGAAGATTTAAGGTATACCAGACCAGTATTATTATACTGGTGGTATAATGTGGTAACATGTCATCCATGCCAGAGGGCTGATTGTTTATTCAGAAGACAAAAGTAGTGTTTCAGATTCTTTAATCACATACATCAAAAGGAAGTCAGTGCCCTCACCTGTGCTCACAGATTTGATCCCTTTCAAAGTCACAAGGACTAGAAGTCACTTTAAAAATCACGTCAAAACAGCATATGCCTCTCTCCTTGCTGAAGATCTTAGCCTAAGGTTTGAGAATTAAATAACCAGAGAGGAAGCAGTTATGTTTTCACATCCAGAAGGTGTTTTGTATCTGTTAGATCGGAGACATATTATCTCTCACATGTACACACCTACCCTGCACCCATGTTTAGAGCTGTTGGTTCAATGCTCCTTTTATTCTTTGGGAAAATTTTAAAACCCCAAGGTAATGTACCTTTTTAGGTGAGTGGAAATAATGATAGAGTACAATGTTTAGCCTAAAGGTTTCATGAGATTGGTCGAAAAGTTAGACATTGTAGCCGTATTTCATTTTATTTCTATACATACTCAAGTCTATTAAACAGTGACCTTAAATTTGACAGGTATGAGACCTTCAACCAAGTTCTAATGGATAAAATAATGGCTTACCCAGAAGCTATTTTTCAGGAATTGATTTCTTATAGTATATCCATCAGCCAATATTTTAATGTGAAAGAAATCTTCAAACAGGTATAAAGAAAACAAACTTCTTCTGGTTTAAAATCTTACTGGTGTATGAATTTTTCACTTTGGGGAAAATTTACATGAGCTTTAAAATTTAGATTATAGAAACTGAAGCATTTTTTGGCCGTAGGACTGAGGTGGGTTTGGGTTAAACAATTCTTTTTTTTTTTAAATTGTGTGTGAGTTTTTGTTGTTGTTTTGCTTTTAGAACTTGCAAGGAAAGACGGACTCAGCACTGCAAGATGAAGGTAATACCTCAATGGTGCAAACAGGTAATTTTGCTTGCTTGTTTTCAGTCTGTATTTCTTTGGACTGTGACCAGTAAAACTCTGCTTTAACTGGAAAGAACTAGTTAAGGCTTCAGAAGCTGAATGCCTGGTGGAGCAGCAAGCTGAGAGCAGTGTGCAAGAAAATGAAGGAGAGGAAAAGATATACAGTTGTCAACAGGAAAATGAAGAAACACACACAGCTGAGAATGAGGAGGTTTTTGCCCAGGAAACTGAAAAAAAAGAGAACAATGAAGATGAGGAGAGTTTTCCTCATGAAAGTAAAGAAACTGAGCATGCAGAGCAAGAGGTAAGTTTTACACAGGTAAATGAACAAGAGGATAAACTGAAGGTGAAATAAGTCTTGCACAAAATAGTGATGAATAAGAAGTCTTTATTATTATTACTACTATTATTATTATTATTATGGTGTAAGTCTAAATTCCTTAAAGTAGATTAGATTTAGTTTATTGTTTTAGTTTCTTTCTGGAGTATTAGGGCTTTAGATTCTTTTTATGGGCAAATGGAATGTATAAAACAGTTTACAATGCACTGCTTTTACCGTTGTAAAAAAACTTTTGCATTGATTTTTTTTTAAATATCTTTCTTTCTTTCTTTCATCTTAGTATTCTTAACCCAGGGTGACTGATTTAAGCTGTATTTGTACCTAATTATTAGTTTTTCAGGTGTTTAGTTATGTGAATTTATCACCATAACAAAATCATTTTAAAACTTCGGTGACTCTACCTAAGACACTTGCAAACATCTGTTCTCTGTACAAAGGTTGTCCAAATTGAGAATGTTATCCTTAATATCCTTAGAATTCTTACATTAGCTTGTTCACTGTTGATTCTATACCTTTAAAGGTAACAGATGATGATTTCCAGTTGTTTCCTAGGTTATGTTCAACAGCAGCAAGGCAGAAAGCTCTGAAATTGCCACTGAGGTTTTTTCCACTTCTAGTGGCAATTCTTACACGGTTCTTAGAGTTGAAGAGGCAGGAAAGACTGGCATCCCAGAGACTTATTTTACAAAATATGAACAAAAAGAATCACTTCCTGTGTACCTGAAATACATACTTATTGAAGAAACAGTGTTTGTAGAGCTGAAAAAACGGTTAGTAGAAAACAGTTTTCTGTTCGTTCTTTACCTTTAGGTAATAGACAAATTTCACCTGTTCGGGAGAGACATTGGATTAAAGATGCAAAAATAATCTAAGGATTTTGATGTTATTCCTCTTCTTAAATTGATAAAAATAAGAGAAAATTTGTATATTGCTTTTCATCCATGACTCTCAAAAGTACCACATCAGCATTTACCTTTTACAGACCATTTATTTTACAGAATGTTATTAGTGAGAAAACTTATTACAGAAAAGCAAGTAGTTTGCCCAAATTCCCTGCAGAGCCATGGAGGTAAAATGCTTGGTACTCAGTAGCATACAGCTAGCTCGAAAACTCTACCAGTATTGTGCAAATGGTAGTGAAAACACATCTCCCTATAGTCAGAATTTAAATTCTTAATATATTTAATAAATTCTTATTTACTGCTTACTGTTTCTCACTGTAATATTTCTGTTTCAATCATAGTATTCGCCTCTGCTTTTTTGAACACTTGGAGAAATGGTTTGCAGAGTCCTTGTCCAACTCCTGTGTCTTTGTGGCTGCCAAGAAAGAGGAGCTGAATTCAGAACTTCAGCTGTGTCTTCACTTGCACCAGCAGAAGCAGGAGAACATAGAGACAAATATCTACAATGTTAGAGCTGGTATCCACTTGTTTTTACTCTGAGCATTCCATGTCTTTCTTTAGAGAGGAACGTAAGTGGACCAAGATCTGTTTCGGCATCAGTTGACTCAGTAGTAGAGGACAAATAGGAAGCAGTTCAGTGCCTACTAATTCCTAGTATAATATGTTACTAATATTTTAAAAAAGCTGTTTCTGTCCTATAGCTCGTGCTGGTTCAGCTGCTATATTTTTCTTGGAAAACAGCCAGCAGTGTCTTGATCAATAGCTTGATTGTAAAAGGTGTAAGAAATGAACATTCAGTTTCTATTGTCAATATCTGTGAGGCCTCATTCTCCTGGAAGTTATTTAGCAAGAGTTTGCAATGTACAAAAAATAATTTTCAGAGTATTGCGGAAAAAGAATTGGCAAATGTTGGGAGAGCCGGGGAGGGGCAGGGCTCAGCTCTGTGAACAGCACCGACAAGCTGCAGATTGGCCACTAACCACAGCTCTTTTCTGTATGAAAAGTGTCAAGTTTTTCTCGGGAAAAAAAAAAAAAAATAATTTAAGACTGGCTTGGTGGCCCTGAACATCTAGACTGGAAACTTCTTTTTTGGGAGAACAGGCAAATAATTTGTCAATGCCACTTTTTCCTGCAAAGAGGATAGCTGCCTTTCTGGCAGTTTTCTTGAGAGTGATTGGGTTTGATTTACCTGCCCATCAGTCCACAATGGAGACCAAAAAGGTTTTTGTTTGGGTTTTTGTTTTTTTTTCTCCACAAAAATATAGAGAGGTATATTTTTCATTAAAAAGAAAATCCTTTACTTTGGTTGCAAGACTGAGAACAGAGATAATGGAATGTAAGGACTGACCAAAACTAAAAGAAAGAAGAGCAAAGACATTTGTGATTTGAATGGATTATGAGCTGCCAGGGATACATGTCAAAGCCATGAGTAAAATCGAGGAAACAGAATTGGGTGTATTTTATTTGTACCTTTTAGCCACTCTGAGATCTGTCTCAGTCTATTCACAGCTGCTTCTGCTAATAGGTTGGCTGATGGTTGTGATGGTCACAGTAAACATGGAATAATGACCGTATTGTAACATTTCTTTTCTTGTCAGTGGAACTGTTGCTTCACAAAGAGCGTCTGGAATGTCACTGCAGAGGGGTGGGGGAGGCTCTGGAAAAGGAGAGAGCTGAATTTCTTGGATTTTGTGAGCAGCAAGATAATATCTGCAAAAACTTAGAATCACATCTCCGTGATATGGAGTCCGTTTTCCTCAGTGCTCCTATGACTGAAAAGTAAGTGTGCCACAGGTGTTGCTGGTGTGAATTTCCATAGTTAAGTACTCCTCATTGCTGTCTGCACCATTCCTGGTTTGTGCTCTGAGGCTGTTTCGCATGTTATTACTCTGCAGTGAAAATTGCTTTATGAAATGCAAAAAAAAAAAAAAAGGAAAATTTTTCTTTCCTTTCTCTCTCCCTGAAGAAATTAAACCCAGAACTGAATGGATGGCGACTATTCTCATGCACTTTCAAAGTCCTGGCAGTCTTAAAGTAGAAAAGATGTTTCATCTGTTTATATTTTATCTGGTTTATTGAACCTGCACAGTAATATGAATTGACTAATTGGTTTTGAAGGATACTTTTCAACAGCACCAACTGCTTGCCAATCTCTTCAACATGTCCATCCAGACAGTCACAATTCAGTGAGTTGCTTTCAGAATACTAAAACACTCTTGAGTTCTGAGATTTGTTCATGTCTCTATAGCCAGCAGCCTCTGAATCATGATGTGTGTTCCTCATTCTATATGTTTTCCCTGTCTTGTATTGTTTGCTATTAGGTTCGTTTCTTTCAGCAACAATCTGCACTCAGAGCTACATAATCATCTGGAAATGATCCAGGTTTCCCTGAGGAGTTACCGGAACTATCTAGAGGAAGCTTTTGGAAAATTAAGAAACTCAAATGTGGATTTTCTTAAGACTTGCAGGTATAGAGATTTCATTACTGTTGTTTATAAATAGTTACTATTTCTAGGCATCTGTGTTTGTTGCATAAGGCAGAACAGCAAGATTCAAGTTTATTTTGTTATTCGTCTAGTTTGCTATTTAAAAAAGCAAATGTATTTTGGTAAGCCACTATTATTATACTGTTTTCATTACATTTGTGTTGATATCTATGTTTTAGGGCTACTTAGCTGAAATAGTCTTTGAGAAAAAGAAGACTGCTGGCCAATTGTTTTTACTTTGCTGGTTGTTTTCAGATTATTTTTGGAGGGAGGTAACTTTTCTCCTGAGGAGGTGAAGTCCTTCAGCAAGCGTCTTCAGGAGGAGAGTGAGCATATTGATGCTTTCGAAGGTTTAATCAAGACAGATATGGAGAAAATGGAATCGAGCTGCCTGGAGCAGGTGTGCCGTTTCCTTCCTTCAAATGATACATTAGAGTGGCATATTTGATGTGATTTATAATCAGCCCACCCCTAGATTAGAACTGTAAGACTGTTATGCATGGCAATTACGTGATGGAAAAATGTAAATAGAAATGCTGAGTTCTACTATCAATGTTTTAAAAAGTGAAAATTAATTACTTTTGTCTCTTGTTTCTGGCATTCTTAAAGGCTACCGAACTCATCAACCAATCTGAAATGAAATTTTGTTATCTCTTTATGAGTAGAGTTTTTATGGAGAAGATCCAACAATTTTTGACAAATCTACGAGTGCGAATCAAGTCAGAGGTATAAACAGAAACATCAGAACTTTGTTTAAATGAATTATAATAATTTCCCTCATATTACATTGAAGACATTTTTGGCTGAATTCAGAGTGAACAAACATTAAGTGACTTTTTATATTAATTCAAAACCTGTTTTCTAGGTCATTATAACCTTAAAACTATATTTTTACTGCTGCTGTAGCTATGCTAGAACACTATGTGATCTTGCAGCATGTTGAATATGTACATCTGAATAGACCAGCATTTTTGTGTGGTGTAGTAAAGAACATGAAGTGTTGCTTTTCTTCATTGTCTTCAGCTTCTCCTCTGAGTACCAGTGCTTGATTGTTTTTTACCAGTTAGTCTCAAAGTGGAGCCTCGAAAATCCCTTGAATGGGATTTTGCTTCACTAGTATCTGCTTCTGTTTTAGGTAGCAGATTCCAATTTGCAGGCAGTGACATTAAACTCTTATCTGGAGAAGCTCCGTCAGAAGATAGATGCTTGTGCCCATCCTACTGCAGATACTGAAGTAAGTTCTAATCGGCATGAAATAGTATTTAATTTGACTTGGTTTTAATTTGATTCACTGTGCATGTTAGTATAATTTATAAACTAATATTTTTGAGGCAGGCTTATGTTTACACACGTTTGGGGGTGGGCAAAAAGTGTACATTACCACTGAATATTTACTCAGGAAGGTCCTGTACCTGTTTTCCTGTTTGCCAGACATAAACCTCAGCCTCTATACAATCTCAGAGCTTCCATGTATGTGTAAATGAAATGGTGACAAAATCATATGATTTTGCATGCAAGAGTCAGCATATTTGGAAAGTCTGAAACAGCTAGCTTAGCAACTACCACCTGTAATATCATCTCTTTCAGGCCTTGACTTCAGAAGAGTTGTATGATTTTGCCAAAGTAGTGTTGAAAGAACTGAAAAAGAGGAGCCAGTATCTCGACTGCTTGCTAGTAAAAGCAATAAGCCTGCATGACAATGTAAGATAGAATTTAAGTTCTATATTTTACTTAATATTGAGTGTTTTTTTATCTGTATGTTTCACAGGATTTTCAGAATCCATGCTTTGAATTTTCAAATGAGGGAAGATGCTGCATTATGGCAAGGTGTCCAAGACTTTGTAACATTAGATCAGCTTCTTTAAGAGGATGAGTAAATCAGTCACCACTGAGTTCACTAAATGCTAAAGATGTATAATTCTTCACAATTATTTTCAAAATTTAGCACTATTCATAGATATGTATTTCACGGGTTTCTTTAAATAAATGAAAAAAATAAAAAAAATCTGTCCTGAAGAGATCTTTTTATGAAGTGGTCTGTTGGTTTTTTTTTGCTTTGGTTAGGTTTTAACTTCCTTGTCTGGAAAGTATGTAATGTGTAGTCTATACAGGATCATTGTTCTAAGGATATATACTTAAATACTGCTTATGATAATTGTGAGAATCTGCTCTTAGCTACTTATAAATGTCTCAGAGTTGCATAGCTCTAACAACTTTACTACTGGAACTATAAAAATCTTTCTTTCAGCCTGTGAAGCAAAACAATGTGTTTGGAAGTTCTGCTTTAGTAATCAGTAACTACATGTAATGCTTTCACTGCCTAGTACAGTCAACAGGGTTTCATTTTCCTCATATTTCAGGAAGACTTTAGCCCTCCTGCAGCAGATGTTACATTACAAGGTCCAATTGCTGTTGCCACTCGAACAGGGTATCTCAGAGATGAGAACAAAGTGATGGTGATGGGGCTGGATCCTGTCAAATTTCCTTTGTTAAATCCAAGCAGAATGGGAAAGCCTACAGTTGATGATTTAGCAATAAGTGTTATCAAAAATTTACTTGAGTAAGTACTTGTTTGCCTAAAGGTGTTTTTCTGTGACTGTCTTTATATTTCCTTTGCTACATACACCTTCTCTCTTCATGAGGCTCACCGTAACACTACAAGGGGTTTCCCTACAGTATTTCTAAAAATTGTATTCCAGAAGCATATAAAGGTTTTCCTGAATTCATATTTTGTAGTTTATGTTTATTTATAAAGAACTATTGAATATATAATTCCTAGTTAACACTACTACATAATTCCTGGTAGCTGAGACTGCTTTCTTTGTAAGAGCAAGATTTCTAATAGCCAAAAATACCCCATTGTGAGTAATGAGTAACATCTAGTTTATAGCGCTGAGATAAATTTTAGGTATTAAATTTTTGTTTTCCAGAGCCTTATTTTTAATTAAGAGATAATTCTATGCTACATACTTGAAAGAACATACAAAGTGTGAACAGTATGACAGTGTGTGATTTGCAAATAAATATGTTAATACATTTTTGCTTGCAGAAATTATGAAATTCCAGCTCAACAATTAGTTAGTCCCATGAAAGTACTTATATGTACACTGTCAGCTGTAAAACTAATCCTATCTGCTAAATATTATCTCAGAAATTTAACTGCACTTAGAACATAGTGGGGATAGAGAACTTCCATAGTTCTCTATATGATACATAATTTAGTGTATAACATAAAATATGGTATTCAATAGCTCATTAGCTCTTTTTTTTGTTTCAGAATTCAGCCATACAGAAGATCTTCGGGCCTAAATCAGGATCACTCACTTTCATCAGGAGCAGGTGTGTCAGAATTTCTTTTACATATTACATTAATCTAAATTGGGGTTCCTAGCATGTCACTGAGGTAACCCCTGCCGAAGTTTTCCATTTCCTCATCTCTCCTCTCCTGAGCTTGATTCCTCCAGCCACTTCCAGAGATACACTCACTGTCTTCCACATTCCTAAGTTCCCATCAAAGCCAAGACTATGAACGTAGCCCTCTCATTTTCCTTATTCCCTACCTTAATGCTGTTTTAAGCCTCCTCCCATCTACCACATATTCTCTATGATGTTCCCACTCCCCAGTGCACAACCTTTATTGCTGTTTCCACTGCTGGGCTACTTCAGTTCTGTCTGCCAGGAATTATTGTTACTGTAACTGTCCCCTTAATGTTGTAACCAAACAGTATAGAAATGAGAATGCAAACTATACAACCATAAAACAAAGCAAAACAATCTTTAACTGACATTTATGCAATGTTCTTAATCTTTTCTTGTTAAATATAAAGTAATTCTTCCCACATCAAAGAAGAGTTCTTGCCTTAATGTATCTGATGAAGATCCTCGGAAATCTGCCTCTTGCAGCTCTGCAGCTCTGACTACCAGGAAGGCATCTCCTAGAAAACTGATACGAACAGGAAGGTAAGATCCCCTGAAAGGAGGAATTCCACTTATAATATTCGTATGCAGAAACGTCCACTGCCTATTATTTGAAAAATTGTTAATGCTTGTTTGTATTTGCCTTTTTTCCATCTTTTCCATCCCATTTGGGATTTCTTCCCTCTTTATGTCGTCATGATCAGCTCTGCATTCTTTTTTTTCAGGTTTTGGCTGGAAAAACATTCTTCTTTTTATCCTGCTGTTTTGTTTTTTTTGAAGTTGTTGAAATACAGACTAACCCCCTCTTAAATCAATATGGCTTAATTTTCAGGTCTGGTGTCTAAATAGTATGTCTTCAGCTTAGTCCATAGGTAAATGAAATGAGCTACTGTAATAGAATAGAACCACAGAATCATAGAATAGTTAGGGTTGGAAAGGACCTTAAGATCACCTAGTTCCAACCCCAATATCATGGGTAGGGACATCTCACATTAAACCACGTCACCCAACACTCCATTTAACCTGGCCTTGAACACTGCCAGGGATGGAGCATTCACAACTTCCTTGCGCAACCCATTCCAGTGCCTCATCACACTCATAGTAAAGAGCTTCTTCCTTATATCTAACCTAAACTTCCCTACTTTAAGTTTGAACCCATTACTCCTTGTCCTATCACTACAGTCCCTAATGAAGAGTTCCTCCCCAACATCCTTGTAGACCCCTTTCAGATACTGGAAGCTGCTCTGAGGTCTCTACGCAGCTTCTCTTCTCCAGGCTGAACAGTCCCAGCTTTCTCAGCCTGTCTTCATATGGGAGGTGCTCCAGCCCCTATCATTCTCGTGGCCCCCTCTGGACTCATTTGAACAGTTCCATGTCCTTTTTATGTTGAAATGGAGCAACAGGAGAGTTTGAAGAGCCACTGAGGAGAGAATCCTTTTTTCCCATTAAAAGCTTATTTTCACATAACACTAGTTTTAGGGCTACATTTTCCTGAAGTTTTCTTCAGTTTCATGTCCATCATATGACTGACCTGCTCAAATAACCAGCCAGAGAAGGAAAATACTTGTGGATAGCTTCAAATTAATGTTTTACCTCCCTAGAATACAGAAGTACACCAGACCAGTTCTCAGTGACAAGGAATTCCAGATATTTGAAGAGAAGCCTCCAGAATCTGAGTAAGTTATGTATATTTTTCAGAAATAAAAGTCGATCTGCAAAAAAAACCCCTACCTATGTATTTATTTATAATTGTGAACTGTAGAGTTCACCACTGAATTTTGAGGTACTGAAGTGGGTTGAAGGGTTGAAGTGTTTACAGAACAGTTCCTTTTTGCAGCATAATAATAGTGAATCCGTAGTCATCCATTTTATTCTATTTAATGCCTGGAATGGGTAGCCTCATTGGAGCTCATTTTGTACATTTACAAAGAATGGGCTGTAAAATGTAAAACAGTCTGTCTTTCAGTTATTTTCACCTCTAAGATGATTAATAAATATTATGCACTACATTCTTGTGCTCAGTATTATATTTATATGGATAATCAGGGAACAAACTGTTTAGAAGGTGATTTTTAAATGGTTCTATTCTCCTCTAAGAAAATTTAAATTTTTTATATGTAGAATTGAGATATTTCATATGCACTACACAAAACTATTAAAATTGATGCCTAAGGTGTTTAAGTGCTTGGGAATTGTATTCCACATCGTGCTTCAAAATACTTCCAGTAAACAGCTAGACCCACCTTCAGATATTTGTGGTTTATCTCAAATGGCTAAGCTCCTAAGGTGAGGTTTCAGCACAGGATGTTCCCATGGCTGCTTTATTACATGGAGTATTTTCTGGTAAGTGTTTCCAATAGCTCCTCAGCTCTGATGCTTCTCTAGAGGATCTGCACTGATGGGGTGAAGGTTCTGGGGCATTCTGAACATTTGTTTGTGTATGCTCTAAAAACTGTATTAAAATAAACCAAAACAGTATATTAGAAAACCAGTCAATATTGCCTATGTGGTCACTTTACAGAGGGATTGTCTTTTACGTTTAGTGGGTTTTATCTATTTATTTATTGATTATTATTTATTTCATTTGTTTTCAGTACTTTTAAGAAGATTATTATGAATATTCTGTGGACAGGTAACAACAGCTTGCTCTGCCTTGCTGAGGTAAGAAAACCCAGTGGTGTTCAGTCACTTGTGCTTTCATAGGTCTTCTCCCTAAGATGTCAGCTGAATCATTTGGCTCTTTGCAATGTCTGGATGGCTGTCCAGAACTTCTTCTTTCAGTGCATTTAATTTTTAAATAATATTTGGCACAGTGTATTTCTAAACACAGTTTTCTTCATGAGCGTTAACTAAGCATTTCAGAATCAGAGGAAGAAAACTGGTCTCAAAGAAGAGGGTGGTTGATAGCCTTATGTATCCCTGTTTCTATTATATGCCTAGATGTGACTTGTTTGAATGTGTTATCAACGACTTTGCTGGTTTATCTTTACCTCCTGAAGGAATTTTACCAAAAAGGGAAGCCTCAAGTCACAAAAATCACGGTGCCTGAAGACCTGCCAGAGACATTTGAACATTGTGCAGAAGTGCTCAGACAGAAACTTTTGTCATACCAAAGTCAGACAGATGATTACTACAATTTCTGTCTTATAGGTAAATTCATTCAATAAAGACTTTTAGTTTCTTGTGTATGTTAATTTTTCATTTACGAAAACTGCGAATTGCAGTGGTTGAGATTTATGTAGCTTTCTTAATCCATCACATTCAGTGGAAAAAGTCCAGTTGATTTTACTAGAAGTTGGGCCAATATTCTCTTTTCTATACCATTAGCTACAGAAGGTGTGGCAGAAGGGCACTTGACTGAGTTGAAAGATCTGTACAAGGTCACATCTTTTGACAAGTGCATGTTCCTCAAAACACTGGACCTAGAAAAAGGAATGGCAGGAACAGAATCTCTGTCAGAGAAAATTCCAGGTTGTTTGACCCTTGCAGCATACATGGAACTTGGCTGAGTGGTTTTTCTCTGTGCAATTAAGACTTCTGTGTCACATAAATATCTTGTCTTTTCCAAAAAGAATTTCAGGATCAATTGAAGTTGTTTGAGAAGGAGCTCGCTTACGTCTCCCTGTTGGCGGTTGATAGCCTTTTCAAAGAACATGAGCAGAAGCTCAGCTATTCCACTGGTCAGGTTCGTCTCCTCTTCAATAAACAGCTGGAAGACTGGGAGAACCTGAAGGTATGTGTCATGGACATCCAGTAATGCTTACAGTGGAAGCAATGCTAAGTGCATTATCATTATAAAAATATTGTTTTATTAATCTCACTGTTTGTTTAATGACTCACTGCTGAGCTGGCCACACATCTGGTTTCTGTGTTTGCAGTTAGCCTATGTAGTCCTACTGGAAGCTTTGGATTTCCCTTAACTCAGTCTCTTTTCTCACTGCTTCCAGCACAGGACTGGCTCTTTACAATCTTGTGCAGCTCTGCCTGTCATTTGAGACTTAGATTGTAGACTCTTTAAGGGCTGCAAGATTGTGGTATGGCTACACAGGTCATACTGCATGGGCGCACTTGTGTGTAAGTACTAAGGCGTATGGATGGGTAATGAAATATCATTGATTAAGTTTTCAAAAGAGACCTATATTTGTCGAGTAATATCAGACCTGATAATAGAATCATAATGAAGATCACACAGGAAATGTTACAGAGCTGCATCCTGAGATTTAAATTCAGAAAAAAATACAAATATAAAAATATAAACCCATCCTGTTTACCAGTTGATGGGAGAGATTATTATTAGTCGAAAACAAACCCAAATGTGAGATCAAAGGCGTGCTGTTCTCCAGCAGACAAGCAATTTGGTATATACTGTGTTAGCCACAAAACACATGACATTTTCTTTGTCTTTCTGAATACCTTTATATAGAATGTGTGGGTTTACTTCTTCCTTATTATGACTCAATTGCGCATTCTTAACTGAAGGCACTTTTTATGTATTTACTTAAAGGCTGCACACAAGAATCAGTTACGTCCCTCCCTAGGACACCCAGGCAACTTGCTGCAGCTGGACTCTTTATGTCAAGAGGAGCTAAAAAGGCAAAAAGAACAAGCTGATGGTATTCATCTCAACATGCAGATGCTGCAGGTAATTGTATAGCCATTGCTCAGCATGAACTTAGATGTTGCATTTGGAAAGGAGAGTACACCTTGAATACATTTTTCCTTCCCATCAAAAGTAAATTGGAAAATGTTTTCAGTTTTAGGCAATCCAATTCATATATCTTGTAACTTAAAAGTTATGCATTATAAGCATTAGATCAATATATACATAAATGCATATGCACATGTACACATGCTTTATTGTGGAACTAACTGGTCTTTTTTATCGTTCATTGAACATACTGAGTAAGAGATGACTTAGATGTAAATGGTAAGAATAAAGATATATGTCTAAGTTGGGAGCAAGAGTGACGTCCTCTGGTTAGTTATATTACTTGCAGACAACATATGGCTGGAAGGTTTTCTTCTGTATGCATTTCATTAGTGCAAATAATTGACATTTTTCTACACAAGAGTAAGAACTGGAATAAGAAGATATTTACAGGAGAGTTTTGGGAATCAAAACACTTTTTCTGCTCCATACTCTAACATTACTGAATATCAGTTCCTTGGCATGAATGCTTTTAGTTTAGGCTACTGACTTAGAATGCTATAGTGTCTGCAGAGTATATATGTATTTAATTCTGAAGTAATATCTCCTTCTCCTCTTAGCTCTGTGAACACACACAAAACCACACATTCCCTGTTTTAGAATAATGCCTTGGCAGAACATTTGCACCCAAAGTACCCAAATTCCAGCATGGCCTTTGCTTTGGGCAGAAGGATGCATTTACAAACAGCTGGTTTTAGCAGGTTTAGGTTCTTAACCCAAATATACAACTAATGGGCACCTAACACAGAACTGTGTAGGTTTTTGTACTTTAGGTAATGAGGTAGTGTTAAGAACACTGCAGAGAGGCACTGTTAGACTCTTCTATGTGCAAACTTAGAGCCTTCTGTGTGTTATCTGCAGCTGCTGCAAAACATTAAGGTTGGATGCTTGTGTAGTTCCTTTGGAGATAAACTAAGAGGAGATCGAACTATCAGAGGAATTACTCTCACTTTTCTCCAATGTCACAACAGGACTGTGCTGCTGAGTGTGCTCAGAACTTTGTTTCTGCACTAGCTGCCTTCACTGAAAAGCTGCTTCTGGAATTAGATGAAAGTGTCACTGCTGATGATGTCCAAGTACCAAGTAAGTAAAGAAAAAATTTGTTGTATCAGGCTTCTGCTTCCTTCTCAAAGATTGCAACAGACTTCCCCTGGGAAGAGGAGGCTTTTATGTGCTATAGTACTTTAAATGGGTAGATTTGCATGATGAAACATGCAAAGCTATTTCTTGAAAGTGAAGACAACTAGCTGCATGTATTGACTTCAAAACAATGGTATTACTGCTGTTGTTTTGTTGCTGCTGAGTATATCTCCTGTTATCTCCCAGAAATTGAAACACCAAGAGAGAAAACATCCACTCTAATGCACCGTAAACAAGCTGGATTTCCTCTAGAAATCTGTGAAGTTAAACAAATAACTGACCGTGGGAGCAGGTAACATCTGAAGCTACTAAGTGCTGTTCTATGTAATTTCTCTTCTCTAAAGTCATATCAGGCACTGTCCTCATAGTTTTTTTTCTGCACTTGTTGAAACTGCTGAATACTATGCTCATAACTAGTGATGTCATTTAACTAGTTAAGGTCAATTTAGGTAGGCAGTGATTTGAAAGAAGGAATAGCAATGGATCCAAATAAAAGTGAATTATGTATTGTATTGTAAAGCAATACAATTTCAATATTATTACTATCATAGAATGTTTTGGTTTGGAAGGGACCTTAAAGCTCATCCAGTTCCAATTCCCCGCCATAGGCTGGGATACCTCCCACTAGACCAGGTTGCTCCAAGTGCTGTCCAACCTGGCCTTGAACACTGCCAGAGATGGAGGATTCACAACCATCTTGCACACCCTGTGCCAGTGCCTCACCACTCTCACAGTAAAGAATTTCTTCCTTTTATCTAACCTAAATCTGCCCTTTTTCAGTTTGAACCCATCACCTCTTGTCCTATCACTACAGTCCCTGATAATGAGTCTCTCCTCAGCATCCTTGTAGACCCCTTCAGATACTGGAAGCTGCTCTGAGGTCTCCATGCAGCTTCTCTTCTCCAGGCTGAACAGCCCCAATGTTCTCAGCCTGTCTTCATATAGGAGGTGCTCCAGCCCCTGATTATCCTCATGGCCTCCTCTGGACTTGCTCCGACAGCTCCACGTCCTTCTTATGTTGAGGACACCAGAGCTGCATACAGTGCTGCAAGTGGGGTACCACAAGAGCAGAGTAGAGGGAAAGGATCACCTCCTTCGACCTGCTGGTCATGCTCATCTTGATGCAGTTCAGCACACAGGTCTTTTCTGTGCTCACGTGCATACTGAAGCAGTTCATGTTCAGTTTCTCATCAATCAACACCTCCAAGTCCTCCTCAGGCTGCTCTGAATCACTTCTCTGCCCAACCTGTAGCTGTGTCTGTGATTGTCCTGACCCAGGTATAGGACCTTGCACTTCGCTCTGTTGAACTTCATGAGGTTCACATGGGCTATGCCTCAAACATGGCCAGGTCTCTCTGGATCCTGTCTCTTCCCTCCAGTGTATCAACTGAACCACACAGCTTGGTGTCGTCAGCAGACTTGCTGAAGACACCTCAATCCCACTGTCCGTGTCACTGACAAAGATGTTGAACAGGACCAGTCCCAAACCCAACCCCTCTGCTAGCCACTGTTTATCAATTCAGCACTTTCAGATCCATGAACATACTGTGTATTTGCACTCAGATGAATTGTATTTACTTTGCAGAGACCCTGGAGTTCTAAAAGAAAAGGTGCTTGTACTAAATAAGGTAGTTTTTAGGATAAACCTTTTGTGGAGATTAAAAAATAATCTTTTGCACTTTAAATACAAGTAACATGAATTAGTATAATCTGCTCTCTTTTCTAACTTGTTCTCTCTCATAAGTGTTTGCTTCTTTTGGTTTTTAAAGGACTTGGCCAGGAATACCCATGACTACTCTTGCAGACAATGCAGATTATGTTCTTTGCAGGGAAACTGCATCAGTTACAACAGCTAAGACTACGCTGGGCCATGTAGCAGCAGTAGAAGCAAGAGATACTGTATATAAGGTTGGTCTGTGGGAAGGGACTGTGACTTAGGAAGTTTGGGCAAGAGCCGGAGCATGTTCTTTGTTTGAGATGCATGCGTTGCTCTCTGTTCTCTAGAGAAGGCTGCTTTTTAATCCTCGGGGATAACAGAAGTGAGGTGAAGATCTTGCATATGTGAATATTTAAACTGCTGATCTTGATTGAAGATATCAGCAATTTAAATATTCCTTATAATTGCTGATATTGCTAATAATTTAGTTTCAGAAGTGTTTAAAAGGGACACGCAAGGAAAGCAGTGAATAATTCATTGTTCATATAGTTCTACTGCCAAAGGCAGAAAACAGGTGGCCTTTATGCAGTCTTCTGACACAGTGAATTGGGACATAGATTTAGGTAAAATAAAGTTATATTTCTTCACCATAAGGACTATTTTGTCCTTTGTTGTTGTTCATACAGAAATACAAATGTAAACTTGAGCAGCAGTTTGCCCAGATCAAGGAAGAAAGTACAGCTCAGCTGCGGGCAATTCAGCATTGGGAAGACTGGTGGAAACGATCCATCCACAAGATAAAGCAACTCTATAGATGAGATCAGTCAGATCTTACTGATGTCCTTCTGGTCATTGTTGGTTGTAAACTGACAAGTTTGTACTAATGTCTGTGATGTTACAAGTTTAGTCCATCAGAATCTGTTTTCCTGTTGTGCTGAACCAGTGCAGTGGTGAAAGGAGCTATATCTTGCCTCTTGAAAGAAACAAATCTGACAAATGTATTGTAAATGAAATGTAGACTCTGCACCTCTTCCCAGTCATATCTCAACCAGAGTAAAGTTAATTCATTGTGGGGCTAGCTGTAATTTGAGAATCTTAAAAAGCTAGAAGCCCAAGCAGTGGATTTATACTGAAGTTCATATTCAAGTGTCAGGCATGACTGGATTTGTCTGTGTCATGGAGGAGCCTGAGGTTATAATAGTGAAAGGCAGCCTCTTTAATAATGGAATCCAGCAAGAAAACATTTTCTTCAGCACGGGTGAAGCCTTTCCCATGAGTATCCTCTCTTTCTTCACCTCCTTAATGACACAGCTCACTGCTTGAGTTTTAAAAATCTGAAATACAGGTTTAGAAATTTTAAACAGTTGAAAAATATTTTCCATGCAATGGTCTACAAGTGAGGTATTTACCTGCAACCTGTAATGCTTCCCAAAGCAGTGCTTGAAGATAAAGCACCGCTTTGTTCTAGGAGGTCAAGCAAGTTTATTTAGGAGTAACAAAGCTACCTTCAACCACATCACTTTTAGAAAACTCTCTGAACAAATTCGAGGAGCTTGAGTAACTACTAAAAATGCTTTAGCTGGTTTTTGTGTTTACTGAGACTTTGTCATTAACTGCAACCGCATCTCTTTTGTGTTCGTTTGCATTCGTTGTGAACCCCGGAGTTGTAAATCAGTTGAGGACAAATATGGAAAATGTCAGTGAGATGGCTTTAGATGCAAGGAGACATTCTGAATGCATCTGGCTCTTGTGTTCTTCCAGATTTGTAACACAGAAAATGAAGCAAGGGGGGAATGCATCAGCTGTGCTTCTAATGATGCAGTATTTCAAAATGTGTCTATTACATTTCCTGAGGGATTAGATATTTATTCTGTACAGACACCTGGAAGTAAACTATGCTTATTAAAATAGCTGAAACTACATTAAAATAACCAGAATGCCAATGTTTTTTGTGTGTGTGTTAATTTTACTATTGAATTTGAGGATAACTTTAATTCTCCTTTCTTCTATCTGTTCATTATCCACTGTCCTTCCCCATCACCCAAGTTCTGTGCTGTCAGTCTCTGTACACCATGGTGGTAAGTGCATGAGGATGGTCAGGTGCAGAAAACAAGACTCCCCAGCAGAGTGTCTGCAGAGTGGTTCTGTCTTATGCTTTCACTTATGTTTTGGGGGAAAATTCTGAGAGATGCTTATGAAATTGGAAATCTGGGAGGGGCTGCAAGCACCACAGAGACAGCATCAAATTGAGGCTTGAAGTTTTAGAAAAATAAATAGCCTGAAAATTGAGTAGAATTCCCTAAAGTCAAGTACAAGGTTTTATACGCAATAGAGCTGGCTAGGAGAGAAAATGTGTGGGTTAGATTTGGCCACAGGCTGAATGTCATCACCAGTACTGCGTTCTTGCAAAGCAGGCAAAGCATACATTGGAATGTATGAACTGCACAGTATTTCAGTTTTGTGGGGTAATCCTGCTTAACTTAATACTGCTGATGGGTCAGCAGGAGTATTTGGTTTGGTCTGGCAGCAGGTTTCATGAGAATGGACTGATTAGAGACAGTTCAAACAAAATTGAAACAGCAATAATCATGGGTCTTGAAGTTAACAATCTACAAAGAAGGACTGAAGAAGTTGTTGTGGTTGAGCTCATAGGACAGAAGAGAGAAGGAAAAGTTATATCTTTTGAATACGTAAAGGGAGTCTCTAGGTGCACGATCACTGTCATAAAAAGATACAGACCTGAACTGCTGCAAGCACGATCCTAGTTGGAAATTAGGAAGCCTCCTGATGAGGAGGGCAGTCATTAGCACTGGTTGCCTGCCCACCCCATGTCTAGCCAGCTCACGAAGAATGGTTGAGCCTGTTGAATCCCCTCATGCACACTTTTCCCTTTCGCATGCACTGGAGGCATCAAGCACAATACGTGGCATTGCAAAATCCTGGCATCAGTAGCAGCTCTCATTACAGAATGAGCTGGGCAATTAGCTAAAACTGGCCAAAGCACAGAATGACAACTAGAGGGGCAAGCTGGTTGCAAATCCTTCTATGTTTGTGGATCTGCAGGATTTTTAGGCAAGAATCTCAAACTGCTGATCATGAACCCATGAAAATCCATTATATATTTATATATATATAAAAAATATTATTTACTAAGTTGGATTTTGTGATGCTTCTTCATGAAAACTGATTAGACAGGAGAGTGTGGAAGAAGCACCAAGGGGGGTTTCTGTATGGCATCATAAAGCAAATTAAAGAACTTTTTGCTACCTATCTTTTTATGGGAAAAGGAATTAAAGGGGGAAAATGGCCAATGACATTTCAGCTCCATTGGCATTGTTGCCTGCCTTGCGAAGGGGTCCCCAAAGTAGCAGCCTGTACCAGTTCCTCCCACTAACACCAATGCTACTGACTGTCTATAAATAGGAGTTTGACAAATAGCTCTTTTATTTTTTTTACCCAGGCTCCAGCCACATGCTAGAAAGTGCTTTGCTCTAACTGGAAGCTGCCTTACAGTCTCCACAGCAGCAGCCTGGAAAGCTGCTCTGCAGAGCAGCACTTTACATACATACAGAGGATGCTGAGGAGGCAGAAGCGAGCTTGCACACATGGGAAACTTCTCGGCAGTGTTGTTGTTCTGTATTCCCTGAAGGTACTAACGAATGTAGCTTGTAAAAATGAATGTGCTTGTAACAAGCCCCTCTGGAGGCCAATTGCAAAGGCTTTGTGGTGGGTTTTTTTTTCCACAGGGCCTGTGTTTCACACTGTGGGAACCTTTACTTCCCTGTGAACAGAAAAGGGATTAATTTGAGCTTTTAAGGTAAGCCAGCTAAGCTAGGTGGAGCTCATTGTTATGCCTGCTGAAACGTGAGTAATTTCTTTGATTTACAGAGAAATATCGCTATGCAATATGCATTATTATTGTTGTGTAATGTTTCTTTGCTTGTTTGGACCTCAGTTTACCATTTTCCTACATGCACCTTTGGAGGGAGCTGTCTGTGGCAGTTACTCTTCTGTGAAAGATGGAGTTTTTCAGCTGAAGTGATAACTGTGTTAGCTTTACATATGACCTGGCAGGATTGGTTTTGGTGAGTTTATAAAATCACATTCGCACACACACTCAGGCTGGCTACCGAGTTGCTGCTACAGAGGAGCTCAATTTATTGAGATGGGAGATACATAATAGCTGGAAGACAGTAAGAAATAGCTTGTGGAACTGTTGTAGCTGTAAGCAGCTGTGGGAGAGCTTTGAATCTATTGCAGGGCAAAATCAAGCAGGTGCCTTGTATGACCTTCAGCAATGGTTTCTGCTAACCTGATGGATATTACTCTGAACAAATTGCAGGCACTCACGTGGACAAGTCTCTATGGGAGGCAGACAAGCCCATGAGTTTAAACAGCCATGGAAGCTTTCAGGCAGCAGCAGCTAAGAAGTGACTCAGGCAAACAAACACTCCTTTGTCAGCTGGTGTTTGTTAGTACTCTCCTTTGGTCCAGCTCCTGTAACCTGACTCTTATCGCTAGCAGTTCACCTTCAACAGCCACCATTCTTTTGCATGTTAATAAACATATACCCTGTTGGGATACATGATAAGCATGTACCCTGTTGGTACATACCTTCCCTTACCCTCCCCCACTATTTCAACAGGACATGAGGCCTTAATATTTCTCTCCTCCATACTGGAATAAATTAATGTGTGAAATCAACTCGAATACTCTGGACTAAATGAGGAGAGAAGCTTGTAGCTTTCAGTGTAACGTCTTCTGAAGGGGGTTCACTAGCACGAACTGAGGATGCATATCATGGAAATGAGTCATCAGGAAAGCTAGTGCAGCCCTTTCAAATGAAATGAAAAAAGCCCTGCTTAGAGAAGCAAACCTGCAGACTTTCTTTTCTCTCTCTCAGATAATTAACCCAGAAAGCAAACAGCTGAGTTAGTACCTCTCCTGCAAACCAAATTATTCTTCCTATGTAATTTAGTCTTTTAATCATATGCATTACTATAGGAAGGAGAGAAATTGTTATTTTCCACGCGGACTGAAAGTATTAGATCTGGGTTGAAAGTGTAGTGCTCCTTCAGCTGTCAAACTGCTCCTCACAGGTCCCTCAGTTTGGCTCTTGCAGTATTATTGCCTTCAGGGAGCGTGTCAGATGAGAGACTGCTTCACCCTCCCACTGTCATGCACTGTGCTGTGCATGACAGATTTCTTTAGCAGAGGGCTACAGATCATGGTCTGGGGTGGATGTGAGCAGGCCAGGGTGAAATACACACCACAAATTACATCTTGCTTTAAAATCAGAAAGGTGAGAAAGAAACCCTGAGAACAAAGAAAGTTGAAATGGCATTGCATAGCTGTAACAGGACATAGTATATTCAGTATTTCCACTACTCACACAGGAGATGAAGGTTTTTCTTTGTATGAGACACAGCATTCAGATGTATCCAGCATTCTAAATTACATCTAAACGTGATAAAGCTATATATCAATACTGGAAAAATAAACTGTCATACCACAATCTGTATTTGAATAACACAGCAATGGGGTATGTTTTTATAGTAATTTCATATTGCCCCTTGTGTTTTAATCTGTATGTACATCAGACTGATAACAAATATGCGTAGGTTCTCATTCTGTGAGTTCAGTGGTCATTATGCTCTTCTCCTAGCTGCCTTTTTTAGTGTTTCTTTCTGATTTACTGGACTTGAAACCAAAAGGAGCAGTTACATTTCATTAACATTCTCTTTCTTTTCCTTCAGGCATCAGGATGTGCTCACAGTCACACACCATGGCTGGCTCCCATCATCTGGGAAGAAACCTTCAATTCTGAGATCCTAGACAATGCTTACAAGCCACTGAATCTCACCCTAGGGGTGACTGCCTTTGCCATGGGAAAGTAACTGAGCTACTCAGTGGGCACAGTTCTTGGGTTGGTGCACTTCCTCTGTGGAAAGATTATTTTGGCTTTTCTTGTCCTCAGCAGAACTGAAATCTGTCGCAATCTGTGACATAAACTTTTATGCCCATGTATTGTGTCCATAAGCATAGAAGCCTACACAACAGCCTCAACACCTATTTCACCTGGAGCATGTTCAGTATTCCTGAAGTATTCCTAATGCCCAGTGTGCCTTGGTCATTAGAGCTGTAGATAGGTGGTTGGTTTGTCAAAGCAGGGATAATATACCTGTTCCTTGTCTTCCTCTATACTTCACCTATTGCATGTATAGTGCATGAATCCTTGCAGCAATAGCTGGACAATACTCTTCATCCCTTGTCTTCTTCCATTCGTTAAAGCACCCTCCGTAAGCCACCACGCCTCCCCTGGTGTCCGCTGTGCTATTCACACGTGGTGCTGCGCAGGTACACCAGGTTTGTGGGCCGCTTCTTGGAGTCAGCAGAGAAACATTTCATGAAAGGCTATTGGGTGAACTATTATATCTTCACTGACAACCCTGAGACAATTCCCAATGTCTGGCTGCAACCTGGATGAAGGTTTGTCATTGTTCCCATCAAGAAATACCCCAGCTGGCAAGAGATCTCCATGCTCAGGATGGAGGCCATAAAAAAGCACATTGCAGAGACAAGCCGTCAGGAGGTGGACTACCTCTTCTGCCTGGACATTGACATGGTGTTTTACAATGCCTGGGGGCCTGAGACCCTGGGTGATACAGCAGCAACTGTACACTCTGCCTATTTCAATGTCCCTGGAAGCCAGTCCCATTAAGAGAGGCAGAGCTCTTCAGCAGCCTACATCTCTGATGAAGAAGGGGACTTCTGCAGAGGAGGAGCTGTGTTTGGAGGGCTCATCAAGAAACCCTGTGAGTTCACGAGGATCTGCCATATGACCATCCTGATGGACAAAGCCAATAAGATCATGGCAGCCTGGAAGGAAGAAAGTAATCTCAACAGGCACTTCCTCTCTCATAAACCCTCCAAGGTGCTTTCTG